TGGTTAGCCTCTAGCAAGACGCCATGACCACCCACTTAGAATTGAGTTAGAGGTGATCTATCCAAGGCATTAACAGCTCGAATTCTGATCTAGTATCTGATCAACGCCGTTATAATCATCCGGTTAAAGACGACGTTTGACGCAGTCAAGACACGCCACTCCTCATATCAGATACTCTAGACATCTCAAGTATGAGGATCCATAAACGAACCGCTGTATGAGATTCAAGTCATGACTCTGTCCATGTGACAATCTCATGCGGGTCATCCAGTCACTCGTTCACAACGAGTACCCATGATTGTGATCTACATCCAATGCGTTGATCGCACCTCATACTAGTCTTGATTCAACATTGTTCTCACAATGATGACTGACTAGGGAGTTTAGAATCATTCTCTAATGATTCAAGGATGCCGAAATACAACAAACATGCTAATCGTATAACGGAAATATAATGCATTCATAACTCAATGAATCAATACAAAGTCAAATGTCATATCACGGATCATCCTAGAGCATTACAACCAACATATAGTTTCTTATAAATTTGTTAATTTGATTACATGTTTAATATATATTAGACTAATTTTATTTTTTTCGATATAAAGAGTCAAGTGGTCTTGATAAAGAGTCAAACGTCTTCGTCAACGATGGATGAAGAATAATTGTTTAATGGTTATTATGGTTGTGTTTATTTTAGATTTTTATTGCAAGTCTTTTGATTTTGAATTTTTTATTATCTCGAATATGTACTTTTACATTTGTTGTGTAATACTTATGTATTTTCGTTAATTTGGATTCATATTTTTATATTTGTTTGAATTTTTTTTAAATGTTCAGACTCGAAGTCTGACCGATCATGTTTCGGGCCGAGCCGGGCTGGCCCGTAAATGTTCAGGCTTTTCTCGGCTCCGGGCCGGGCCGACCCGACCCACACATTTTGACACCCCCTAGAATATATATACGGTTATTAGAACCAAAAACTCTAATCCACAACCAAAATGCTTGCTCAGAGAATTTAGTATTTTTTAATTATGTGATATACTTGTATCCTAAAGAGATACAGTTAAACCCTCTCTTTTCTTTTTTGTTCTATAACGCTTCAGAAAAAAAAAAAATTCCAGGCCGAAGCGTTCTGCGATCTCCTAAGGTAAGAAACAAAAAAAAAAGCCAAAAAAAAAAAATTCCGATACCAATCTTCTTTCCGCTCGGACATGAAAAAATCTGTCTTCCAAAACCTTTGGAGGTTATCCCGAAGTTTCAGGAACTTTGTTCTCACTGGTTCTGTAAGAAAGCATCTTCTGAACATAAAAGATCATGTACCCTTGTGAAGCTCTTACGAGGTTTTCGTTAACCCTCGTTATCCACGCATCATCGCATTTGTACCACTGGTTACTTAGCCGCAAATACGTCACATAGTGACCGGATTCGAGCTTTCCCGAATGGGTCACGACAGCAAACAGCTCGAGCTCGGACGATACCTCATTGTTGGGCGCCTCGTTCTCGTCGAATGAGAATATTCGGTTTCCGAACCGTCGTCTCAGAACTGAAGAAGACAAGTAAGGAGCCATGTCTAGTGAAAACGGGAACTGAAGATACCGGTCGACTTTTCTCGACATTTTTCTCACTGGGGAATGCTCGAATCTTTTGATGTGGAAGCACGATACGAGAGGCAGTTTCCGTATCGACATCTGCTTGAGAGACTCTTGCCGTTCTTGGCAATGTTGGCAGAAGAATTTCTGGTCCGAACCGAGCTTCTCGGGTCTCGTGAACAGGTCCAAGCAGCCCAACAAAGTCGATTTTTTGAGGTCTCTCTCTTTGTTGGGAGTAAGAGCAGAGTTTCCGGAGGGTGTTTTTGCAGACGAACCCTGGTTCGGTTCCAAGTCCAAGGAGATGTCGATGCAAGGATCATACGTTGTGGATGTGAAACCACAGGCCATACACATGACATCGGACCGTAAAATTCCCGAGAAAACTTTATGAGCAATGCAACAGTCGACGGTTCCTGCACAGAAAACCTCTCATGTTAACATAAAATGGGAATTACGAGTTCGAGAGTATCAGTAACATATCATCAGACTCTTAACTTTTTTCTATACCCTATTTGAAATGCTTGAGTCATACAACACATGGCGCTAGTTCAGACAACACAACACATAAGCCTTAGATGGTTAACACACGACAAAACATGAAAGAACAAGCTGGAAATGAATTTTCTGTGGCTAACGCAAGAGGGGTTCGGAGAACTAAAGCGGGATATTAAATTTTATGATTCTCAGCTCTCCTACATAATCGAGGTTCACAGCTACTGTTTTTGACATCCCCGGACAAGGCAGTAAGATTTCACTAGGACTAATGCCAAAGCCATGGATGAAGGAAACTTCCTACGAGTTAAACTAAGTAGGCTAGGGAAAGCTTTGGACTTACAGAAGTGAAGCAGATGGTATCAATGCCTGCAGGTTGAGGTTGGCATTAGCCCTAAATCTGACTGCACTTGTAAACTCCTAGGCGACATTTTATACCTAAACCAACAACCTGCAGCCAAATTTTTAAGCTACTTTAGTTTGGAATTTCTTTTGGTGGCAATACCGTGAAAGTCAGTGGCGAAAATATAATGGATGGGGACCTTAACAACAGAACAAGACAGCGGGGAGAGACAGTGAATTCCCATGCTTCAGGATTCATCACGCCCTCTAGTGAGTAATCTAACTTGTAAACTCCTTTTCGTTTAGGCTTTTAACCCATTTCCAACATCTACATTGAAGCCGATTCCCCAAAGGAAGTTGAAAGGTAACCATTAACCTAAAGAATTGACATTAACTGTCAGACTGGCACGAGTTCATAATCTAAACAAACCGAATTCGAGCATGTCCCATTACCCTATATCTATAACGGCCTGTGAAAGAAGCATAGAAGCAGCACAAATTATGGAACGATGGTATTGGTAGACTGCAATCTAGTCCTCAATCAAATGGTTTGTCTCATACAGATAATGCAATACACTGCTAAACCCACATACTCCAAGGTATCTGGAGAAGCAATCTAACAGAGAACACCCAATAAGCTACATGGACACAATGCAGATGTAAAAAAATAGACACATTGAAATCACCTGTATTCTGAAGCTTCTGCTCATCCTTTTCTGGCTTTTCATGAATTCTATCAAGAACGGAAATGAAGAACTCGTGTGCATCTTGTTGCTCATAACTCGCCAAATTTCCTCCTGCGTGACGCCACCAACTACGAAGAGATCACAAAAAAAGCTGAGAAAGAAGCTTAATCTACAAAGTAAACAACTCCCAGGCGAAATTCTGAGAGAAAACAAGAATGAAGCTTTCCTGCAACAAGAATCAATCTGAAATGCACAATTTTTTTTATACAATCAACGGAGAACTTTATCAGCATCACAAGCAAAATGCACACAAAACAAACCTGTACAGGAACTTTGCAGGGGTATAAGGCTTTCGGTCTCCTGAGAATGCAACGGAGAACAATGCATCCAAATCGCAAGCCAAGCACATTTTCCCGCCACCTTGATCTCCGTCTCCATGACCTCCCCTGCCTCTGCCAGATTTTTTGCCTCCTCTGACGGGAACAGGAACAGATCTTACAGCATTCTGCCGCTGACACAAATTTCGGTTGTGCTGATCACTGAGGAAATAGTTCCTCAGAGGAGGCGTGTGAAGCAATGCTTGCAATACAGAGTTCATGAAACAAGTGTTCCCCAGATTGTTCAACCCGCGCAAACCAGCCGGAAAGTCTAATGGGTCACCGGCGACGGCGGCATTGGGGAGAGAAGCTGAGCTGCTCACCATTAGCACTCGTTCATGCAGAGCAGGACTCCACGCCCGGTAATCTACTTTGCGTCTCTTCCGTATATTCTCAGGGCTCAAGGATTTCTCCGTCGACGCAGCGGCGGTTTTCATGGCGAACATCTGAGCCATGACCACCGCAGAATCAAAGTCGCGATCGTAGATTTGGTCACGGCAAACACAGCAGAAGAGCTCGGCACGGCTGACGTCGACGGCGATCTCGTGCCCCGGCGATGCCGTCTTGGCGTGCGCCGCCGCGTGCGAGGACGTCGGAGGGAAATGGCAGGATACGGCGGCGCAAGTGACGCAGGCGTAGAGCCTCGGCCGGCGAGATTCGCCGCACTCTCCGCACCGTGGGACCTCCGTCGCGTCTCGCCAGATCGCCGCCCGACCTCCCGGCGGTTTGATCCGGAGGCAGTCTTGGAGCGCGCGAAACGGCTTTGCTCCGCCGTTGCGGGCGCGAAACTCGGAGAGATGGGGACAAGAAGCGGGAGATTTCGCCGGAGAATCTTCGCCACCGGCGATATAAGAAGCCATGGCGGAGACGGCGGAGGAATGGGCAGAGATCGACGAAACCCTAGATTCGGAGGGCCCAACGGTCATGGGACTATCAGAGGAAGAAGATCCAACGGCTGGGATTCGTTAGGAAATCAGAATGGATTTCAAGGATGGTGAAAGAAGAAGATGGTGATGATGATGGTTACTGTGAGTGAGTGTTGCATAATTTATACAAGAAAATTATTTTTAATATATTGGAAAAAATTAAAGGGCATTAATTTTTTTTAATCATATTTATTAATGAATAATAGATTAATTAATTTTCCTTTAATGATATTATATTTCTCCTTTCGAGTCTGAAATAAGAATATTTTATAAAGTTATGACACGTTACAATAATGTTGTAATTATAATATAATCTTATAATGTAACAAAAAAGGGCATGTAGAATTATGAAATTTACTATTCTATCCGCATACTTTTTTGTACAATCATGAATTTTTTTCTATCTACATAAATGTTTTGATAGAGTTATAATGCGATTTTCATTATTGTGTTGTGATGCTAAATTTCAAATGTTTATAACCTAAATGGTTGAAGAATCAAGAATATTTCATCCTTTTATTTTTCGAATGAGAATATTTTCGTCTTTTATTAGATTTTTATTTAAAATCTTTTGAAATCTAGAAAGTAATTGAATCTGGGAATTGATTCTTTGGTTGATGATCAAGGTTTTCGTTTTTCGAATTATATTGTTAGGTTTTCATATATTTTTTTTTTGATTAATTCGTATTCTGTTTGGATTCAATTTTATTTAAAAAAAAATATTTAGTCCCTATAAGTTCTTTTCATTGTTGTTGATTATTTTTGTATTGATGTAGATTAGACAAATCTAATTTAAAAAATTATACATAGTCATTTGTATTTATCCAAACAAAAATATTTGGTTTATACTGTGTATATTTCTCTTTCTAAATGATTATATAATTTTATGATTAATTAGATATAATTTTTGTTAAATCAAATTCAATATGTGAGAGCGAAATATTAATATAACAAAAAAACCCATCATAACAATTTTTTAAAAAAACCAAATTCAAACTAAACCTAGACCGAATAAAATTCAAATCGAACCAAAATCTAATATAAACAACGAGTGCATAATTTTTCTAAATCCCAAAACCCGAATCCATAAATAACCATACTGAAATCCAAAATATCCACTCCTAAGCTAAAGTTTTTTGTTTTTGTTTTTTCAAAAAACAAAAAACAAGAATAAAGTTCACATTTTTGGATCAAGTTTGGCATATTTTTAAAAAAAATTTTAAGTTCACCTTATAAATCATGATGGTGGTTTCGTTATTCCTTTCGGATTTACTTCGATTTTTTTTATTTTACTTATTTTACTATGTACCAATCACTTATTATATTATATTAAATTCAGTTTAGTTTTGATTCTAATTTTTATTAAGAAAAATTTAGAGCTTTTTTAAAAAAAAATTAGTTTTTCGAGTTTTTTTAACTTTGAAAAATTCGATTTACAAAAAATATCGAAATTTTGAACAGTTCGGTTTGAAAAAAATATCACATTTTTCGGTTCGGTACAATACCGAACGAACGACAGTACCGAAATGCCCAACCCTATAATAAACTACTACACGGTTTACAAAATCTTTACTGAAGTGGAACAAAGTAAAGATTTAGACAGAGAAGTTACACAAACAAAACAAAGAATATCATTAACATTTTGAGAACCCACTTGGCATTATTTGTACATGAGGACAGAGAACAAAGGGATGGGATCAGCAGAAACTAAAGGTCCTCACTTTTCTCTTTTCTGCAAGAAGAAGGAGAAGAAGAAGAAGAAGTTCATGAATTACCAGAGATTAATCGTTTCAGAGGGCGACGACGTTCATGAATTTCCTCTTGGCGAAAGCCAGCCACCACTTGTTCGGCGTCCCGTTGGCTCTATACGCTACACTCAGTAGCCTCCCGCTTGTTTCCTCACGTACCTGCTTCAGATAATTCCTGAAAAGATCTAACGTTTTCAAGCGAACGAAATCAGAAACGAATTATACAAGCCGATTGGCTTCTCGAGAAAGCTTCTTCTTACTGAGGAATAGAACTGAATTTGATCCCATCTCTTATATAAGTTCCCGGTATATAGATTGAACCCGAGTTTCCCCTTGACAACACTATCCTAGTACACAAGCTATATGTTAAGACGAAAGCTAGACCTTAAAGAAGATTGATTTTTTTGTTTAAGTTGGAAACAAGCCCGACTGCAAGAACGAGAAACTAATCACAATTGCAGTCATGATAAACATTCTATGTACCTGCTTCTTCCTGAGACTGGGGAAGCACAAAGAGACCTGGGAAAGGAAACCCAGCTTCACCCGGCACAGGAATGTTTTCCAAACCCAAGTTGATGATCGCCTTTGTTCCTACTGCTAATGTTCTGCACCCTTCGAGCCTCTTCAGAGCCACGTTTATGTAATACGTCAAGTAAATAAGGAGCTTATCAGCAGGACTTCTGATGTCGAAGTTTCGGAAGAAGACATTAGCTCTGAAAAAGGTGATGGCTTCGTCCACGATATCCGTTTTATCTGCACCAAGAAATGAAAGTAAATGCCTTTGCCCATCTGAAGCAAAAAACAATATGCATACAGCTTTGTGTCTGCCATGGCAAGCACCTTGTTCCGAAACCGGGGCAGGACCCTTTATATGGCTCTTGAGAGGAAGAACAGGGCAACCGCATGCTTTTGTTATTCCCTCCTCAACCACGAAGCTCGAGTGATAAACCTGGCAGGACAATTGATTCATTCACTAGCGACAACAAACCCGTTTGAGGTTTGCATCAACTTATCAAAATTATACATCCACGACACATTATCCCCAGAAAAATCTCATGTAATGTAAGAACGGATGTGGATATCGAAATACCGGGGATATCGAAACATGATTTAACAAATCCAAGAGATTCATCCTTCAAGCAGGGTCCCAAAAACAGCAAGTCCATGTAACCAAATCCAGAAACATTCACAGGGCCAAAAAAAAAAAAGAACTCCAACCCATGAGAACAGTGAAGAAATTCTCAGGATTCATGGCATTCAAACTGCTAAAAAGTCTCAGGCTAAGACCTAATCGCTCAAAATTCGTGTGAAAACCTAATCTAATCTAGCCAGAGAATCCAAATCGGCTTGAACAAACACGAATCTCGACACTAAAACAAATAACCCAAATTTCATACGAACAATTGAAGAAACAGATTGAATCTCCGTACCATTGTCTCCCTTCTTCCAACAACGAATAGATTTCCAGAGGGAAAAATGATCAATTAGAAGTGCAGAAGACAGATCTCCAGCGCCTGAAGATCACGGATATATAGAATCGATCGATTTCTTAAAAAAAAAAAACAGATTAGGTTGGAGCACGTAAGGAAAAAAAAACCTTTACCTAAAATCGATTTCACAGAAACGATCGGATCAACCTTCTTCCTTAAGCATCGACGCAGGAGGAAGGTGAAGAAAATTGAAAAGGAGAAACATAATTGCTGTAGTGCCACTAATATTTCTCTATATTGTCAGTTCGCACCCCATAGTATTATTTGTATTTAAATTCGACCCATACATATAAAATTATACATCACCATACCCAAACATCTAGACCAACACCAAGCTCGAGAGGTTTTCACTGATCTCTACAGGAAATCGTGGTAACCAGAGAGTTGGTTAAAATAATCCGGTTTCCAGGTATCCGGCAAATTTGGAGAAAAGATCGGACTACGGGTGAAAAGGGTGGACATTTTGACTCGAGAGAGACCATAGCTGAATGGTGTAATTGGTTGAGAATAGAGGGTATTCTTGTTTTAGATGTTATGTTCAAGTCGGGGGTTTGGAACGGAAGTCTGTATTTGCGGTACATAGGTTTACTCTGGATTTTGGAATATGTAGTTAGGTCGGAGGTTCGAAAAACTTTTGAATTATAAAAAAAAAATGTATATTTTGGTATCCGATTTGGATTCGGTATAGTATTTATTCGGTTTGGATTATTCTGAAAAATATGTATCAATCGTTTATTATATTATATTATATTCAATTCTTTTCGGGTTTGGTTTGTAATAAGAAAAATAACATATAATTATATTATGATAAAATATAAGTGGGGAAAAGAGTGTATTTTTAATCACATGGCTTGTTTCCGACCTCGTGATTAGTCCAGATTTCAACTTCCAAAATGATAAGACATGATTTTTTTTATATTTTAAATTATTATACTCAAATCGAATACAATATAATAGAAAAATAAAATAAAAATGTAAATATCTATAGAAAATGAGTTTTTTTTCTCGAAAATCGAATTCAAACTAAAAACTAATATAAAATCAAATCGACCTAGTTTTCCAAAAATGAAAAATTATGAATATGAGAATAATCCAATTGAGAGCTAAAACGGCCCATCTTTAGTCCAAACGCCATGAAAACGTTTTGACATCAATATCCCAATAGTTATTTTTCTTTTGTTGAAATATGTCATCAAAGATGGCAATATATAAGATAAGAAAGGAGAATTTACAATTATCAAAGAGAGGTTTGAAGGAAAAAAAAAAAGGCAACTTCCATTTGTCAAATTACAATATGGGACTGCAAATTACAGCACATTGTATTCGGATATATATATATATATATATATAATTCTCTATATATGATAGTTTAGTTATAACTTGTAATATTATAATACATGTTCGAGACAAAAAAAATGAAACTGTTATTGAATTCTTCTCATGGAAGGAAGATCAGATTCCATTGCGTGATATAATGTAAGACATCTATTTCATAACTTATAATGCGATGCCTAAAAATAACGAGGCCAAAATGAAATGATAAATATACTAAATAACATAAATGGATATGTTTTTATAAATTTACACGTATACACACACATACATATAACATATATATATATATATGACCAAATGAAATAAATTTATACAAATGCACACGGATCTAGATTAATAATAATGGAATGAATTTATTATACACATATGTATGACCAAACGTAACAAATTTATACAAATGCATATGGACGGATATCTAGATTAATAGTAATGGAATTTAATATACATGAATACGCGCGTCCATACACACACCTATATGTAAGACCAAAGGCCATGTATCTAACACAAGAGGTAATATATATATATATATATATATATATACACATACGTATGTATATATAATATATATATTGGTTTTGATAGTGACTCGTCCACTGAGTAGCATTGCAACGCACTCGGATTTTTCATGTTTGCAGTGGTTTTATAATACGGTTACTGCCCAATGTTTGTAATTCAATAGTGACATAAGCTTATCGTAATTATTTCATGATTTGGATTCCACCTATAGTTTCGCATTTGATTAATTTCTTTAATATAAAATTTATCTTTCGCTCATTTCTTCTTTTGCATAACGAAACGGTTATATTTATTCAATAAGACATGCATGATCCAAAAACATTTGGCAATGTAACCTCTTTTAACATCTTAACATAGAAGAAATCACTTGAGCTATTTTAATACAAAACCACACAATTTATTTATTTATTTATTTTTCTCTTTTTATTGTCGTGTTGTACAAAAACCAAATCTAATTGTTGTTGATATTATTTGTTAGGAATATATTTTTCTCGATATAGATATATAAAATCTAAACAATCTAAATAAGTATGTATTCGCATTCGTAACTAATCTAATTTAAAATCGATAATAAATATTATCTTTTAAAACAAAATTAACGGAACATGAACTAATATAAAAACAATAGAAGAGATTCAACGATGTTTTTTTGAAATAGATATTTTTAATGAAAAATAAATTCAAACCAAATTAAAATTTTTATTCGAACCCAAAAAAAAAAAAAGATAAATTTTACAAATTTTCAAAAAAAAAAAAAACTAAACCTAAAAAACAACCAAAATCTAAAAATATCTAGTGGCGAAAGAATCCAAAATATCTATATACTTTTCACTAAGATAATATAATACCAACTATCATGTTCATGTTGCGTCCAAGACTCTAAAAGTTTACATGCGATCCGTCGCTGTCGTGAATTTTTAATTTACTGCATCACTAGACATTTTAATTAGCAAAAATATTTCGATAAATAAATTGTTTATTTTTTTTTATCTTTGTTTGTTTTGGACCAACCACCTTTGTTTGATTCTAATAAATATTTTTCCATTCGTACATTTTTTTTAATCTAATTTCCGACCAAAATTAGGGTCTGCATGAGTTTTAAGGAAGGTGAAAATAACCCTTTTGTCATTTTATTTGAGGTTGACTGCAACTATACAAAAGCAAAATTCAAATCCAATAATGCCGAGTAGAATCGAATGTAAATGAATGGAAAATGTATAATTAACAAAAATTAAATTAAATTAAATTCAGTGAAATAAAAAATGAAAGAGGAAAATTGAGACAGAGAAAAAAAATTACTTTGGTATTGACAGTAATGATAAATTCAATTAAGAAGAGGAAATGTTGTTTACCTTTTGTTTTATTTGTCTACTAGTATAATGTTACCTATTTTCAGCGATTTTTGTCCATAAAACTTTTCTTTTTTTAAAAAAAAATAATGCAATATAAAAATAATGGTTAAAGATTTAAAAATGTTTCTATTTCCAAATCGGTGAAAAAGTGAAAAGTTAGGGATATATATTAATAATTTTATATTTCTTTTTTATCTTGAATTATTAACTAAACTTTTACCTGTACTTTCTTTTTAATTAAACTTTTACATAATTTCTCCTTCTTGCATATATAGGAAAAAAGATGTGAAATAAATATTGGGAGACGCAGTAAAAAAAAATTAGAAAAAAAAGATATAAACGAAAGACATAAAGATAAAAGATGTTTCATTTTATAAATTAATATCAAGTAGAACAATAGTGATATAAGCCTAGAGAGTAACTTCTCAACCTTTTAATTATGAATCTTTTTCAATTGGGGAAGCTATGGTCGCAATTTGGTTATTAATAGATTCGATTAAATTTTTTAAGAGGAAAAAACGGTTTTAATTTTGTTATTTTATCTATAAGATGTTATATTTATTATAATTTTGTATATAATTTCCATTTTATTCAAATTTATGTTGTTTTGATTAGTTTTTCATTAAAAAATTTACTTCTTTTGTTTTTTCTTTTTAATTTGAATTTGATTTTTATATTAGAATCAAGTTTAAGTAATTTATTAAAAAAAGTATCTTGTTAAATTTTAAATTATATTCAATTCCTATATTATTAGATTTTATTTACTTTATTTCTAAAATATTTTTTACTAAACTAAAATCTTATAGAATAGACGAATTTTATCCAAAAAATATTTTTTTTGATAATTCGGAAATTTAGCTACATGTTATTTTTTCTTGTTTTATACACTTAAATAGATTTAATATTTGTTTTTATTTGTTTTTGGAAACATACACTATCTAAAAAACCAGATATAGCAGTATTTCGTGAAAAATAGTTTTATTAGATAAAAATGTATTTTCACGATAAAAGCTAAAAATTCTTGAATCATAGTCATTTAATAACTATTTCTTTATTTTAATATCTAATTAGATATGAACATTATAAAAACAATATAAACAAACTACAATATTATACGTCCACAATTTTCCATACAACAAATTTATATAAATATATATGATTGGTGTTAGAGATAACATTTACACGGCATGATTTCCGATAATAGTTGAAAGATAATATATATCCATAAATAGTGAAGAAATACAGTTTTCAAATTTCTAAAAATAAAGAAAAAAACAGAAGAAACTTGTAAATACTATTCTGAAATAAAATAATAAATTAAAGTATCCGCAAAGACCTTGAGCTGTATCCTCGGCCCAACGTTAATAGAATTAGACATTTTCTAATCACACGGAGAAAATACAGAAACAAAAACCAGACGGATCTTAAATCCGTATTCTCCACACGCGTGTTCGGCGTCTGCAGCTCACGCGCTCCGTGTTCGTCTCCTCGCTAATCGCTATATAACGAAGCCTCCCCCATCCTTCACAACACCTCTCTCTCTCTCCCTCTCTCTCTCTCTCTCGTGCGTCTTGGCGAGAACAAAGTGTGTGTGAGTTCGGATCCCACGTTCAGATCCTGAGTTTGTTTTTGAAGATATGGGACCTGCGATTTTGCCAGATCTCGGGACCGAGATCTTGATCCCGGTATGCGCCGTCATCGGGATCGGTTTCGCGGCGTTTCAGTGGTTCCTCGTCTCTCAGGTGAAGCTCGTCTCCGGAGCCACCGCGAGCTCCGGCAGCCGGAAAAATGGTTACGACGATTACCTCATCGAGGAAGAGGAAGGTCTCAATGACCACGCCGTCGTCGTCAAGTGCGCCGAAATCCAGAACGCCATCTCTGAAGGTCGTCATTTTACTGTTTTTTCCAGCGAATTTCGTATATACATTTACATATTATGCGTGTGTCTTTCGCTTGGATATATACACTTGACGTCCTCTATACGCAAATACATGAACATGACAGTGCCTGCATATTCTGCGTTTAGCTTCTTTTATTTCTTGGGTATTGCTTCATTTAGCGTAGATCTTTCCTAATCTCGTTTTGACGTATGGCTTGATTGTTTAATTTCTGGTTTCGCCTGTGGGCATATGAATACTGATAAGCCTCACTTCATAGACGCTTGTTTTGGCGTGTTTTTCATGGCGTTTTGAGCATAGATCTGAGTTTCATAGGACGGTGTTGTTCATTTCCTATTCCTTTGGATGTTTTTGAATCCCGAAACCGTGTCCTTTATGCGTGATTTGTGTTGGAATTCTCATGATTTGTGTTGTTGGATTTGGATCTGCGCATGATTCCTGTCTGGTGGAGACAAGACAGTTGGAGGAGATTCATAGTATTGAGTTTTTTGGTTACTGCTTGTGTCTGCTATGTCTTATGCCGATAGAGATTCTAGGACTGGTATCTCATTTGATATTTCAGGCGATTCATCCTTAGTAACAGAAGCATGCTGATATTGTCATTGTTATAATTCCTGAATTGTCAACCCCTTGTCACCATTTTTTACAACGTTTGAGATCTATAAGTTATAGTATCAGGGTCTCTCATAAAGCCGAGCCGATGAATCTTTTCCGAAATGAAGGCTTTTATCGCGTTGGATATTGTACTACTGATGATTAAAACGTTCCCCTACCCGAGATAGAAATCCCTGCGTTCACCTCGTTGCAAGTTCATGTTTTTTACCGGGACGCATCTCGGTGTTACGATGTCCTGATGTCTCTCCCATACACTGAGGGATCTATCTCTCTGTTTTGTATGGGTTTCTGAATTTATTCTCGTCTGTGAAAAAAAAGTACGAGGGTATAATATAATCTTTTGGATCTGATATATGATGTTTGTTCTCTATATAGTTGGTTGCATATGCTTGATGCTTCATTGTTCGTCTTTTATCACTGTAGCATTGGCATTTTTCTGAACCAATTAATGACCGATGTCATTTTGTAGTCACTTGCTGGATTCAGACATGATAGATTGGTTTACTGACTTTTTGGATGTACTAATGTTTCAGGGGCCTCGTCCTTCCTCTTCACCGAATACAAGTATGTCGGCATTTTCATGGCTATTTTCGCCGTCGTGATTTGTGTGGCCCTTGGATCCGTCGAAGGGTTCAGTACCAGCAATCAGCCTTGCAATTATGACAAGACTAAGGAGTGCAAGCCCGCTCTTGCTACTGCTGTCTTCAGCACCGTATCCTTCTTGCTCGGGGCCATCACTTCTGTGGTCTCGGGGTTCTTGGGTATGAAAATCGCTACTTATGCCAATGCAAGAACCACCCTCGAGGCAAGGAAGGGTGTCGGGAAGGCTTTTATCACTGCTTTCAGATCCGGTGCCGTCATGGGTTTCCTCTTGGCTGCAAATGGCCTTCTGGTGCTCTACATTACCATCAACGTTTTCAAGTTGTATTACGGTGATGACTGGTCTGGACTGTTCGAAGCAATTACTGGTTATGGCCTTGGAGGCTCATCCATGGCACTCTTTGGAAGAGTTGGTGGAGGCATCTACACCAAGGCTGCTGATGTCGGTGCTGACCTTGTCGGCAAAGTCGAGAGGAACATCCCAGAGGATGACCCAAGGAACCCGGCTGTAAGTGACATAATCGATCAGGGACTTATTCAGACAGAAAAGTGGTTTTTCTAGATCTTTGTAATGAATTGCTTTCACACTTTTGCAGGTGATTGCTGACAATGTCGGTGACAATGTTGGAGACATCGCTGGTATGGGATCTGATCTTTTCGGTTCGTATGCCGAGTCATCTTGTGCTGCCCTCGTTGTCGCGTCCATCTCTTCCTTCGGTGTCAACCACGAGTTTACCGCCATGCTTTACCCTCTCATCATCAGTTCTGTTGGTATTATCGTATGTTTAATCACCACACTGTTCGCAACTGATTTCGTCGAGATCAAGGCGGTGAAAGAAATCGAGCCATCGTTGAAAAGGCAGCTAATCATCTCCACAGCTCTTATGACGGTTGGAATAGCCGTAGTTAGTTTGATTGCTCTTCCATCTTCCTTCACAATCTTCAACTTTGGAGAACAGAAAGTTGTCAAGAACTGGTAAGCTCCTGTTTCTATGTTCACTCAAGCTGTCTGAATCATATTCTCTGAACAAATACTTCATATTTACGAAATTCTGTAATTTTCAGGCAGCTATTCTTGTGCGTTGCTGTCGGTCTCTGGGCAGGGCTCATTATTGGGTTTGTAACGGAGTACTACACGAGTAACGCCTATAGGTAAACCGTAAACCACGAGCATTACTGTCACTGTGAATCAATATTGCTTCAATCTTGACCCTCACTGATCCGGCCCGACCGCCTTTGATTTGATTTTGCAGTCCGGTGCAAGATGTTGCTGATTCCTGCAGGACCGGAGCAGCCACGAATGTCATTTTCGGTCTAGCTTTGGGATACAAATCCGTAATCATCCCCATATTTGCCATCGCGGTTAGCATCTTTGTAAGTTTCAGCTTCGCTGCCATGTACGGTATCGCAGTTGCGGCCCTCGGAATGCTTAGCACCATCGCCACTGGATTGGCCATCGATGCTTATGGCCCGATCAGTGACAATGCTGGAGGAATCGCTGAAATGGCCGGTATGAGCCACAGGATCAGAGAGAGAACAGATGCTCTTGATGCTGCAGGAAACACCACTGCCGCAATCGGGAAGGTACGGACCGAATGTCCACGACTGTTTTTCCGGTTAAATCTCACACCGTCAATGTTGATATATTCCTGTTAACTTATAGGGTTTCGCCATTGGTTCGGCCGCTCTCGTTTCCCTCGCTCTATTTGGCGCCTTTGTCAGCCGAGCTGGAATCTCCACCGTCGATGTATTGACCCCTAAGGTTTTCATCGGTCTCCTCGTCGGGGCGATGCTCCCATACTGGTTCTCGGCTATGACGATGAAGAGTGTCGGAAGTGCGGCCCTCAAGATGGTCGAGGAAGTCCGGAGGCAATTCAACACCATCCCGGGACTCATGGAGGGAACCACGAAACCTGATTACGCGACTTGCGTTAAAATCTCGACCGACGCTTCCATCAAAGAGATGATCCCTCCGGGTGCGCTCGTGATGCTTACCCCTCTCATCGTCGGATTCTTGTTCGGCGTCGAGACACTTTCCGGTGTTCTAGCTGGTTCTCTTGTCTCTGGTGTCCAGGTAAAAACTCTAAAACTCCTCCATTGCAAGAGACAAGGCAAAGCTCTGTTTGCCATGGCAATGTGGTGGTTGTCCAAATTTTGATCAATCTCCTTTTTGTCAGATCGCGATCTCTGCGTCCAACACTGGCGGCGCTTGGGACAACGCGAAGAAATACATCGAGGTAAGCTTCGTTTGAGCCTCCTATTCCTTTCCCCCGAGCTTTAGCTTTGACCTTTCCGTCCATCACGGATGTCTCATACATTGGAGTTGGTGTTTGGGCAGGCGGGCGTGTCAGAGCACGCGAGATCTCTGGGGCCGAAAGGATCGGACCCGCACAAGGCGGCTGTGATCGGAGACACGATCGGAGACCCGCTCAAGGACACGTCGGGTCCGTCTCTGAACATCCTCATAAAGCTAATGGCCGTCGAGTCTCTCGTCTTCGCTCCCTTCTTCGCCACCCACGGAGGCGTCCTCTTCAACCTGTGGTAAACCTCGTCTCGCGTAATGTTTTTTTTTTTTTTTACTATCTTTTAGGTGAGAGCAATCGTCGGTCGGAAAGATTTGCTTCCTTCGAGTGAGTGAGTGAGTGTAATGAGATGAGGATGAGTTTTCTCTTCGAGTGAAAGATGAGATGATGATGATCATGATGATGATGATGATGATGATGGTGATGGTTAAATGTTTCACTCTCCTCCTCTGTTTTCATATCTCTAGCATATTCTGAATCTAAATAAAATATATATATCACCACTTAGTCGTTGACATCTCCGGATTTTGATTGTATTTTTTTTGTGTTTGTTCTTTTAAGTTTTTTTATATAAAAAAATTATATACATTCGATTTCTGTACCGGATTTTGGTCATTTTTTCATATTTTTTTATGAAAAATTTCTATTCATTTCAAATTTGTAATCGTATTAGGTTCCGCTCGATTTTTTTTAAAGAATAATTTTCTAGAAAAATTTGTCCTCCTTCGTCGTCGTTGGTGTTTTTATATATTCATCTAATTCGATTTTATAAAAATTATATAGGATTAATTTTAAGATTGAATTCCATAATGTAATAACGTTTAGATGAATTAGATTTCATTCAATCCCGGACTTGGTAAAACTGAAAGTGGATGTCGCGCTCGTAAAGCCAACGCGGAGTGACATTAAACTAATTTCCGTCTCACGAGTATGTGTGTGTATATTAAATTATTAATCCGTATTACAGTTCTTATTAATGTTTTATTTTTAAAATTTTTTAGTCAACACTAATATGTTCAACGTGCAACCCATTTAATGCCTTCGAGAAAGCCTATAAAAGAATAAAATATCGGTAATTTCAAATTAAACCCTTCATCTTTCTAAACCTCATTTACATGACCATAAGTTTATTTGAGGTCTAAAACACCCCAAAGAACGATCACTAATTTTTCACAAGGTGAATGAGAAGCTAAAGCTACTGTAGAAGCAAAAGCAAAGAGAAGTAATATATCCCATTTGCAGATTTGCTGAAATGACATTCTTTTAATTCATAACCAAATTATAAAACATGAGAGGACAAATTCGTAAAAAATTTAGTTATGTATATCGAATGAAGATTTCTAAAACAACTGATGCAGAATTAAACACACATGAATGAAAAATTTTTGTTACTCAAAAGAAGAAGATGATTGTGTGTTAAAAATAATAATTTATTCTGCATATTATTCATATACGTTTTTACAGATTATATAATTTAGTGTATGTACATGTTTGGTAAAGAAAATATATCACAATGTCTATATGATTATATAACAAAGGAAAGAAGTCATGTTGCTCCATATATGATAGATCTTGAGTGTACATGTCCTTGATTAAGACAATAATAATATGTCCACGAGTGATTGGATATTCTGGACGTTTATGATGGATGTTCTTCCCTTGTACGTTTCTTGATGTGTATCTTCATGTGTGATGCATCAATGCAGCAACATTCTGTCTTTCTTTGATACATGCTCCTCATTTAATTAGATCACATTTGGTAAGTAATCTTAGATGTGGCAGTTTCATGTCTCTTCTTCAACATTCCCCTCAAGATTTTGCTTGGAAGAAAGTCAATCTTGACGGACGAATGTCTTTATGATTGCGAAAGTCTGTTCATGTGGATTGCATCAGCTTCCTTAGTTGTATTATCTTCCATAGTTCTCCCTCACGAGTGAAATGCAACCTTCAATTGATTTATAACTCTGTAAAAACTTAACAAACGAATAAAAAAAACAAGGGAGACTAATGCACTCCGATTTACGGCAAAACACAAACATAATGCAACAAAGGCATGATTATAATCATATAACAGAAGATAAAGTGTCTTAAACCTACATAACTTGTTTTTGAATGTTTTGTATATGTAGATGTTGTGAATGAATTGGAACCTATAATGATTGTAATTCACATGCAAAATATCTATATTTTCGAGCAAAATTGTTCACCAAACATTCCTCCTCGTCGAGATGCTCCAAATGCATCATGGACGGAAATGAGAGAACTAAAAACGTGCTTGACACACTTTTGTATTACCTTTTGTTCAAACAAACTCATAGAAGATTGAAACTCAAATGAAAAAGATTGAAGAGATAACCGAATTGGTGAGGCTACGAGTGTTGTGTCCGTGGTCATCGCTTCATTGTGAGATGTCATTTCCTCATGGAAGTCGTCCACCATGGTAGCTTTCTCCGTTCGTCCCTCATCTTCTCTCGGTTCATCGATTGTGTCATCTTGTTTGTTTTCTATGGGAATTTTTTCATTGGTGATTGCTTGGTCCTCTTCGAAGTGCATCACCTTGTCCCCATCATTATGTTGAACATTCAAGACTTCTTCTTCTAGTCTCTGCACAACTTGAGCACAAAAACCATAGTACGTATTATTGTAATACTCGGTTTCTGTTAACTTACTTGTTTCTCTCCCTTTTATCAATTTTTCGAACTCTAATCTGCTCACGCTTGACTTTGCTTCTGTAATGGATGGAAGTGTGTCCTCTTGAAGGATCTGAATGCACAACACATTGAAGGAGCCATCAAGCATAGAGAGGTAAACAAGAGTGGCATTGATATGGGCTCGTTTTTGGAAGAAGAGGAAGGAAAGAAAATTTCAAGTTGTTCCCAAAGAATTTTGCTCTCACGTTTCATCTCTTCCAATGTCATCTCATATGTGACATTATGGATAAAATTTAGAGCTCTAACACAAGTGAAAGATTGCAGAATTTCTGCATCTCTTTTTGGCATATGAAACTCTATTGGAGTCTTTAGGTGTGGTTCCGGAAGCAAAAAAAAATGATATTCAGAGGGATCCACGGATCTTTATGCTCTGATACCATGAAGATTTCTAAAAGAACTGATGCAGAACTAAGCACACATGAGTGAGAAATCGTGTTGCTCAAAGGAAGAATATGATTGTGTGTTAAAAATAATATTTTATTCTGCATATTATTCATAGCATTTTTACAGATTATATAACTTAGTGTATATACACGTTTGGTAAAGAAAATATATCACAATGTCTATATGATCATATAACAAAGGAAAGAAGACATGTTGCTCCATATACGACAGATCTTGAGTGTACGGGTCTTTGATTAAGGCAATAACAATATGTCCATGAGTGATTGGATATTCTGGACGTTTATGATGGATGTTCTTCCCTTGTACGTTTCTTGATGTGTATCTCCATGTGTGATGCATCAATGCAACAATATTCTGTCTTTCTTTGATACATGCTTCTCATTTAATTAGATCACATTTGATAAATAATCTTAGATGTGACAGTTTCATATCTCTTCTTCAACATTGAATATGCAATTTTAGAAGAAAAGTAATAGAATTTATATGTTTTATATTCGGTAACTAAAAAGTTTGCACGTTACAAAATAAAAATTAAAAACAACATTTTGGCATATGTTATTTGATTTGATTTTACAAAGTCATCACACAATATCATTATTTTATACTATTATTATTTTATTTGATGATATCAAACAAAACTAATGTTGTTTCTCAGATCACACACACACACACACATATATATATATATATATATATATTATAAAACAATTAAGTTTTTCTAATAATTTTTTTTTCAAAAAATAACGGTAGCTCCCCTAGGGCTCTCTTTATGACAAAAAAAAAGGTCTGGATGTTTTTATAAGACTTTCAAAAATTAGGGAATTGTTGTATATTTATTACAAATATGAGGGTTTATATTTAATTTCGAAATAAAAGAGAAAATGAATAAATACTGAAGCGCCTAAAATATTAAATTGCCGCTTCCACCGGCACTTCCCGCATTAATCATCTCCGTCGACGTCGCCGACGTCTCTCCTCATCTCTGTTTCCTCCATAATTTCTCTCTCTCTATACACACACATATATATATATGTATGTGTGTATATATATGTAATGACAACTCGTTTATCTTCTTCTTCCTCCCTTTTATCTTCCCGTTCATCAGAAATCCTCTCTCCTTCTCTCTTTCTCCTCTCACTCCCCCATGCTCTCCTCCACCGTTTCCCTCAGCGCCGCCATCACCACCACCGGAACCACATGTCGCCTCTCCGTGGCATCCTCCATCTCCGGAGACCTCTCCGGCTCCAAAACTGCTAACCCTTTTCGGACACTCCGCATCGCTATTATCGGGTTCGGGAACTACGGCCAGTTCCTCGCCGAAACCATAGTTTCTCAGGGCCACGTCGTCTTCGCCCACTCGAGATCCGATCACTCTGCCGCCGCTCTCCGCCTCGGTGTCTCTTTCTTTGCCGATCTCCAGGATCTCTGCGAGCGTCAACCCGACGTCGTCGTCCTCTGCACCTCCATCATCTCCACTGAGCAAGTGCTCAGGGCATTTCCCTTACAGAGACTTCGCAGGAGCACGCTCTTCGTCGACGTACTCTCCGTGAAGGAGTTCGCGAAGAATCTCCTCTTTGAGATCCTCCCCGACGATTTCGACGTCCTCTGCACGCACCCAATGTTCGGACCTCAGAGTATGAGATCCAACAATGGTTGGCGAGGTCTTCGGTTCGTGTACGAGAAAGCTCGAATCGGCGAGGAGAAATCCAGAATCTCGCGGTGCGAGGATTTTCTGGGAATCTTCGAGCGCGAAGGGTGCGAGATGGTGGAGATGAGTTGCGCCGATCACGACATGTATGCTGCAGGGACTCAGTTCATTACGCACACCGTGGGTAGGGTTTTGGAGATGCTGGAACTGCAATCTACGCCGATTAATACAAAAGGGTATGAGGCATTGCTGGATTTAGTGGAGAACACTCGTGGGGATAGCTTCGATCTGTATTATGGGTTGTTTGTGTACAATAAGAACTCGTTGCAGATGCTGGCGAGAATGGATATGGCGTTCGCGGGGCTGCGTAAGGAACTGTTCGGACAGCTTCACGGCGTTGTGAGGAAGCAGTTGTTTGAAGGTGAAGAAGGGAGAGTTCATAGCTTTTCAATGGTCATCAAAATGGCGTTTCTTTGGATATGATGAGGTATGTTTGAGCTGCTTTTTCCTGAATCCTTTTCAATTCAGATTGTTGCGAAATCGGTATGGTATAGTTCATCAGATTGTGTTTTGGAATGAACAATTGTGTTGGACAGTCTGAGGCTAGATTTAGGAGAAGAATTTCTCAAAGATGCTTTCACATTGTTTCCTTACGACTTTGGCTGATACCAATCTGCGATTTCGCAGATCGAAAGATGCTGCTCCGAAGTATGAATACAATGCCGAGCTCTCTGGCATTGTCGATGAAAGTTCAAAGCTCAAGGTTGCCATTATCGGATTTGGCAACTATGGACAGTTTCTCGGGAAAACCATGGTGAAACAGGGACACTCGGTCTTGGCATATTCTAGAACCGATTACACCGGCGCGGCTGAGAATCTGGGCGTCTCTTTTTTCTCCGACATTGATGATCTATTCGAAGAGCATCCTGAAGTTATTCTTCTCTGCACTTCAATCCTCTCCACCGAAAAAGTTCTCAAGTCACTCCCGTTTCAGAGACTAAAGAGAAGCACCCTTTTCGTGGATGTACTCTCCGTGAAAGAGTTCCCTAGGAATCTGTTTCTTCGAACTCTCCCGCCAGAGTTCGATATTTTGTGCACGCATCCCATGTTTGGACCCGAGAGCGGTAAACCCGGGTGGAAAGATCTTTCCTTTGTGTTCGAGAAGGTCAGGATCGGAAGGGACACAAGAAGAGCAACCAGGTGTGACAGGTTTCTCGACGTTTTTGCACGTGAAGGGTGTCGTATGGTAGAGATGCCTTGCGCCGAACATGACCGGTACGCAGCCGGGTCACAGTTCATCACACATACGACGGGGAGGATCCTGGAGAAGCTGAAGTTGGAGTCTACGCCAGTCGACGCCAAGGGATACGAGACACTGCTGAGACTGGTGGAGAACACAGCTGGGGATAGCTTTGAGCTTTACTACGGGCTGTTCTTGTATAACCCAAACGCTATGGAGCAACTCGAGAGGTTTGGGTTGGCCTTTGAATCACTGAAGAAACGGCTCTTTGGACGATTGCATCGTCTCCTCCACAAGCAGCTGTTGTTTGGAGATGGTGACGATTCCCGGGTCCAATAGCTAATGCTTACGCTGCTGCTCCACAGTATTTGAATAGGTTTCGTTTTCTTTTAGATTTGTTGAAATTAAATAATTTTAGATTGGATTTGGTTACGTTTTTTCCTTCCCGCCTCAGACACTTGGATCAAAGCCATTGCTCACGTAACGTTTCGCTTATGCGAAGATTCACCCGAAGAGAAAATAGTGTCAGTTCCCTTGTTTTTGTGTTAACTTCTGCACTGTCTGGATGAATCCGAGGAACAGTTCTCCGTCTTTAGACAGAGATTCTATCGCCACCGTTTCAACTTGGTCGGAGAAGATACGGTTGCTGGATCGAGTGGCCATACAATACGCCTCGGACGGAATTTTGAAGCAATGCATAGACTGTGGGAGAACAAAGAAATCGAAAACTCGAGGGTGTTTAAATAGGAAAGAGAATCTAAAAGAAAAAAGAAGAGGAAGAAGAGTTACACATACAAATGGTAATGAGGTTCTGAATCAGATGCGACGGCGACTGGCTCTAAGTTTCCTAAAACTCTACAGACTCCAAACATATCCCTCTAAACCATCCAATGTCCGGAAGGAAAAATCAAACCAAGACAGAGATCTGTTCGTTTCTCATCATACCTCTCACTTCCTCTTCTTTGATGGCGGTTGACGAATGTCTTCCTCCTCCTCGTCCTCCTCATCCTCACCATCGTCATCGTCACCATCATCATCATCATCATCGTCGTCGTCATCTTCATCACCATCGCCATCGCCATTGTCATCATCATCTCCACCATCGCCATTGGCCTCTGGGTTGTCGTCCGGGTCAGCTTCTTCCCCTTCTTCCCCAGAGAAATCCTCATCACCTGCATCAGCATCGTCGTCGTCGTCGTCATCGTCATCACCAGCTTCCACCTCGTCATCATCGTCGTCGTCATCCTCAGTTTCACTGCCGTCTTTGTTCTCCTCCTCACCATGGCGATCTGTCTTGTAAAGCTCCTCAAAAGGAAATCTACAGAACGGAAAATCAGATCCACCCAATTAGATACAGCTTTTAGACGGAAACAGGGACTCCAACGCACATTAAGTTACCTCTGTTCTACGGCGGTGAAACCAGTCAGCAGAGATCCTGCCTGGCATCAAACGACAACAACTCATGTAAGTGGAGGATTAAGTCACTAACAATGACTGAAGTTATAACATTCCAGACAAGATGCAAAGGAATGGACATTGCAAAACAATCAGGTTGAGATATGTATCTACCCATCAAAACATACGTAGGCTTTACGGAAACACAAAACAGGAAAGTAAAACTAAACCACGTGAACGTGATATCCCCATGCCGCAATTTATTAAGTGAAACATGTAACAGAGGCACCTTGCCCGAAAGGAACATAAAGCCGTAATAGGATAACTCGAGCAAAATACCAAAAACACGTGCAAATAAAGAAAAAAACCGTGTCGAAATTCCAGCTGCATGAAAGCAGAAGACAATTAGGAATGATCAACTTGAAGTAGAGAATAACTCGAAGGCCATAATAGGTAACCCAAAAAATCTGGATGGCAAAAATATGTCAGAATGTCAAGACAATTAAAGTCCGTCCGGCAGCAAATTAACTCAGGATTTTGCCTTGCACCCGATCCCAGGCAATATGTACTCACGAGCAAGAAAGACATGAACCGATTGGCAGGGATTGACAAAAGTTTGGCAGAAACACTTACGGTGAAGATGGCCGGAGTGTGAATTATAGGATAGTGCTAATTCAAGACTAAGTAAAGTTTGGCCAAAACATCAGACTCATCCAGCACCATTGTCATAAAAGACGATATTCAGACAACGGGAATTACCCGAAACACAACTGAGACAAACAAAATTCATCGAAACATAGAGATGAACACATGGAAATTCATCGGCCACTGCAGTCACAGAGTTGAGACTGCAAATCCAAATCTATACAGAACCGAATTCAAACTGGATACAACACAAAAGGCACAAACTGGTTAACAATGGGAATGAAGTTATGGTGAAAGTCACAAAAAATGGATCCAAAACAAACGGATGATTCCAATCCAATAAAAATCACACTACATTGACACAAGACAAAACCCTAAATTTCCTGAATATCACTACGATAACCGCTAAGACAATACCCCAAAACTGTAGAACAGAGAAACAAGCCATACAGACGAAGAATAAGCGAGAAATCTCCAATTATAGAAACGCAAGTTTTAAGGAGGTGTTCCATACCACAAGGAGCAGACAAGCTACGGTTCTTCCGACAATGAGAGCCGTCTCAGCGACCACGGCTTCAGTTACAGAACAAGCCCATGTCTGCTGCTTCTTCTCCACGGAGCTAACGACAGCGCCCTCCATATCTACTGAAGGAGAGAACAAAAGCTAAAAAGACAGTACAAATGCAAAACAGAAACGAAAACCCTAATCTCAGAACGAAATTTTCAAGAGAAACAGAGAGAGGGAGAGAGAGAGGGGGAGGGGAAGAACCTGAACAGGCTTATCGGTCTGGATCCGGTCAAAGGGTAAGCCCTAGGATTGGTCCGATTAGGGCTTTTGTGGTGAATTTTGATACCGGCAGATTAGGTTTTGCTATGTCCAGAAGGAGTAAGAGTGGATTTTTATTGGTCAAGTTCATTTAATGTGTAGTGGAAATAATGCAAAATGGTGTGGCAAATTCAAATAATTTTGGCATTTTCTGATTCCTTTTATTTTCCTTTTCACCAGTTTACCTTCTATATTAATATACGACCTTACTAAAAATTCAATGTTAATACTACGTAATACATGAGCTAATATACGAAACATAATTTAAATACTAACTAAAGACGTATGTATTTTTTTTTGTAACTGGATATTCTGAATTAAAAAACAAATTATGTATAAATATATATAGATATTTGTATATATATATATATATGTCTATAAGCATGCAATTGTGTATCTCTCTCTATATATATTCTATATATATACATATGAAATTATTTGATTTTTCATTTTTTAATGTGTCATCTTTCTAATTGTTACGTCATATTTCGACCGTCAGATTATCATATCATTAAATGTTATAGCAATTTAAAAAAATGAAAATTTATAAAATTTTAATTGGTATTTAAAATATTATTCCTGTATTATCAAGAATTTTAAAAGTTTATATATTAAAATAACACTTAGTCAAATTCATGTATTAATATATGATGCACAATATTTTTTTCCTGTTTTGACAGGATTTGATTACATAAAAAACCGTTGATGTGTTGACGTGGTTATTAGCGGATGTTATGTTATATATAATTTTTACTAATTAAATCTGATTTCTAAAAAAAAAAATCACACCGATAATAATCTCATTCAATCGATTATAATTTAAAAAAATTTATAATGTTAAAAAACTTTATGGTAGATTAGGGATTAGTGTAGATCAAAATTTATATATTAATTTAAAATAAATTAACAAATGGAGGAGATTTTGTGGAATTTCTCCCGTCTAGTTTTGAACAAGAGATCGCTGCTGTTCCTTTTATAGTGTTGGTTATAAATATTGCATGTTTAGAAACCAAATTATTCAAGGGGCTGTATTCCATTTGAATATATATATATACATAAATAACACTAATAAAGTCATTTTCAAGGTATTGGGTTCGATTCCACTAGTGGGATTGCAATAGTGGAGAGAGATGTAATTTTTAGATCAAAATGGTTCATATACAAAGGTTGATCTTAGATCTAGAATGGATATAGTCGGAGCGAAGACCCGGGAACCATCTTTGTTATAAAAAAAGACTAATAAAGTAAAAAAGAAAAACATCAAAATACTAGTTTCGTAAATGTCTTTAGCATGCAAAAATATGGTAAAATTGTTAGACCAAACCCGAAGACTCACCAATTGAATGGACTCATGATCTCTCTCTTACTGTGGGAACATTTCAGAGGAGTTTCATTATTCCGACCATAACTCAGCCAGTTCAGCGATTCTCATCTCGATTAACAAAAAATACGAAAGGAAAACGAAAGTTATCGCCTCGAGCCGTTTTCGAACAGATGCAACGGGGATTATTGTAAAGAAATGGAACCTTTTGGTGGTTGGTTTGGTTGGTTTCCTTATGGATTTCAAGGTCTTCCCTGGCTTTTGCATTCCCACCATTCCACGAACTTAACCTGAGCCGCCATTGTGTCGAATTTGTAGAGTTGCAGAGTCTGGTTAGCGATTCCGTGCCCGAAGGTCCAACCGAATGCAGCTCCCGCTCCGAACGCCAATGCAGCACCTTGCGACATTATTACCGAAGATGCAAAAAAATTAAAGACAATATCGGAAACAGACATGCCCTTATGTGCATAAGACATAACATTTCCCAACCTATTCAAATATAGCGTGTTTGGTTTCAGTTTCATTCATTTTGGCCAACAAGGTATTCTAGATTTGAAGAAACAAGAAAAGTTTCATCCAAGATAATCGGGTTTTCCACAAGACATTTGGCTTACCATGCAGGCTTCTTGAGTATTTCCACGCGAAAGCACCGGTAGATACAGCGCCAACAACACTACCGGTAACACCATAGTTCACTGCTTCCCTAGCAGTTTTCAGCTGAAATGTGGCAAAAATGTCGGCCAAGGTGTGAAATAGACAAATATCATGCCGCATGAAATGAACCGTATAGCAGATACCCCATATTGTAGGCCAAAAGACAAAACAAGACTTAGAAGATAGGAGAGAATACAATGGGAGTCTCAAATTACAAGGACACCTCAAGGAAGAGGGTAAAATCTTTCATTCGGATCGGATTTGTAAAGGCTAAAGCCAAAACTAAAATCAACTGAAGACTATGGATTCATGAAGGATTCAAAGGCATATTAGAAATGAGATTATAGTCTTCCATCCTCTTGGATCGGAAGGATGACGGAGTTAGCACACATGATAGAAGATACAGGAGACTTCTTCTCACTACAAGAATTTGGAAACAGACGAGGTTCAAAAACAAAACAGATTGATATTTACAACGACCAACAAGGCAAGAGTACTCTTCTGGGCACAAGCGTAAAGAGAATGAATCACATGATGTGGTGACAAGAGTACAGGCATTGAAAACAAAAAGAGATCAAATGGGATATCTCTGGCACTCTTCTCTACAAGACGTCAGCGAGAGATGAAGAAGTCTAAATAGCAGTAACCCTCTTCCATGGAATAGATTCAGAGATGAAATTCTCGCTGGAATTCTAAATCCAGAACTCAGGAAGGGGTTAGCTCGCACTTTCCAATCTATGTCAAAATAAGCCACTGGAAGAACGTTGAAGGGAAGCGATCAATGAGAGGCGTATGTATAGTCAAGAGTTCATTACAAACAATATTATTGTTTCACAAAAAAAAAAAAAGTTGCAAGACAATGAGAACTGACAGTGATAGAGACCAAAGACATTGTTTCAGCTTCGGTATAAGGACATAATCCTCTGGTTATCAATGGTTGGTGACTAGCAATGACACAAGAATAAATTGGAGCCGACGCACCTTTAAGTTTCAAGACAGCATAGAGAAGACAAATGTCTACAATTCTCATCTCACAGAAGCAAAAATGGAGAAACACAGGCCGATAAATCCACAGACGTACAGAGACATATACAGAGGGATACGAAGATATATGCATCAGAGGACAGTGAACCTACGGACATATGAATAGCGACTGAAAACCAAATCAGAGACAGATCAAAGAATCAATAGAGACACATGAAGCGAATCATACATAACTATCCACAGTAATACACGCACATAAGCATACACACAGAACGGATCAAACACCAAATCCAACGCTTGTCAACGAATCCAAAACACAGATAGAGAGAGACAGAAAGGGTACAATGGGGCCATGGATGGGATCGGAGGCGATGAACTTTTCGACATCGGAGGAGGACCAAGAAGGGAGAGGCTTGTCGCGATCGGTGAGCCTCGAGTAGTTCTTAAGGAAAGAGAACCTATCACCCCAAAACTCCTTGTACCCATTCCAGTGTCGCCAGAGAAACGACTGTGAATCCGATTCCGATTCCGCCATCTTCGAGCTTCTTCCCCTACCTCGATTCAAAATCTCCCTCGGTTCGGGAATTTTCTCCTACGATTTGCACAAGGGTGAGTACACGGTGCTCGGACAGCAGTTCTGTATGTCTAGCAATGATGACTCACCACCTGGAGAAATAAATTCAGGAAATTCCACAAACGCCCCCAAATTATAATAAATTTTCAAAACTTCTTCAACATATCGATTCTATCAAATAGGTCCAATTTATTCTTCAAAATATACAAATCAAACTAACAGCAAGTAATTCAATGGCATGTGATTTATATATTTGACAAGAAGAAAATTGATTGGCATATAACTTTGCTTCATTTCTCACTCGTGACTCAACAATTTGCATTATATATTAAATTAGGTTCCATTCGGTTTTATATCGGTTCAGTTTTAATTGATAAAATTATTTATTTTTCAGAGATATTTTTGATGTTTTTCAATTATCTTTTACTCGTTTCGGTTCGAATTCATTTTTTATATTTTAGAGAAATTATAACCATTCGAATTTTATATCTTACAACATTTGCTTTTGATTCAATTTAGTTATTTGATTATTAACTAAATTGAGAGTCCTTAGTGTCAAAACATAAAAGAATTGAATTGGTCTATTTTGGTTCGGTTTAGTTGGCCAAAGGATGGCAAAAATGATCAAAATCCAACAACACCTTAAATATTGACTCAACGGTTTGGCAGTTAGTTCACATAAATGGCATTTTGGGAAATTTCCTCCAACTAACTGCCCATACATACATACATACATACATATATATATATACACACACACAAACTATATACATCTCCATTTTTCTCCTTCTATCCTCACCATGGCCTTTCAAAACGCACCGTATCACGCACAAAAGCCACCACCACCGTCATCATCATCGCCACGGCCGTGCTTGTGCTCGCCTACAACGCACCCTGGCTCTTTCCGGTGCAGCTTTCACAGGATCGTTTCCCGCAAATACGTGCCACGAAGATCGACGGCTGACAACGCCGCCACGTCGGATTGGTGGACCCTGTCCACGTCGAGGAAAGCGAGTGCTCTGAAGGCTTTGTTGCTTCAGATCATAAACCCTTCGAACCATCGGCTTCGGAGACGGAGGAATTTTCAGCCAAGGCCTTCGAGGTTCTATACGAATAGCAATACAAATGGGTTTGTTGTTTCTTGAATTGAACCCATTTTTTTCTCTAAGTAATTTAATTAGCATTTTAGATAACTAATCTTGTTCTGATTATAAGTTAATTAAAGATTAGGGGTTTGTGAATATGGGATGTGATTAATTAAGGTCTTGGTATGATGTTGGTTTGGTGCCTTATTTCTTGTTTTGGATGTTAAAAACTAAGTAAAATATGGATGTATATATAATAAATTAATTAAAGATAAAATTGTAATTTTTTTTAAAAATAACCTAGAAAATCTAAGACGATATCCATTTAATAACAGAATTATGGAGAGATTTAGGTTATATAAACTATGTTTTTCATTTGTTAGAAGTCGGTCTAAAATAGGCGTAGATCTCGTTAATAGAACTTCTGATTTTATATAGAATGCATCAAAACAAAAAAAAATAGAAAGCATAGTGATTTATTTATATTTAAAATCTCTATAATTTTTAATATCAGCCGTTTTTATGTATCATTCAGAATTTGACACTACGTTGAATTGTTATATGCATTATGCATTTCGTGTGTTTTAATAACTCAATTTCAGTTATTTTGGATTCGATTATTTCGGATTTAAAATATTAATATCCAATCTGGTATATTATTTTAATCGGTTCGATTCGGTCGTATATATTTGTCGGGTTCGGTTCGATTATTTTGGGTTTGGTTATTTCGGATTTAAAGTATTCATATCCAAATGGGTATATTATTTTAATCGGTTCGATTCGGTTCAGATATATATTGGTCGGATTCGGTTCGGTTATTTCTGATTCAGTTATTTCGGATTTGAAATATTTATATCCAATGTGTTATATTATTTTAATCGTTTTGATTCGGTTCAGATATATATCGGTCGGATTCAGTTCGATTATTTATTTATTAAAATAATATCACATCAGATTTTTTACCGTACTTTTTTTATATTTGGGTTTAGAAATTTATTTGTTGGATTTTATAAAAACATATATATTTCGACGAATAATTATAAATATAAGATTTTTTTGGTAATAAAAAAAGTGTATATTTTTTTATCAATATCTCAAAACTATAGTTTTTTTTTACTATTTTTTCTAAAAAAATAAGAGATTTATTCGGCGGATCTCCTTGAAATTTATAACGTATAATCGTGGTTTATTGTGTTCTTTGATCTTCTGTCTTCACTAAATCATACTACAAATGTGTCTACATCTAAAAGGAATATTAAATCACACATATATATATATATATATATATATATATATATATATATTAATGCCAATCAACGTCATATATAGGCTTCGAATGGTTGTAGTTTTGGGAGTTTTAAAATCTAAAAGTAAAAAAACTACCATTCAAGTTTTTACAAAATTATTTTTTCTAAAAATTTAGAAAACCATTTTAATGAAAAAATCAATAAAAAATCAAAATCTACTTTTTTTTAAAATCAAAAAACCAAAATAAAAGTCATCACCGATTAAAAGCCATATTTATTGGTCTTGGCCGAATTAATTGGGAACACAAGCAGAGTATCATACTCCGTGTCTAACCCTTGGGAAACGTAACCCAACGCGAAAGGTATGATGACTCCCTTTTTCTTTTACGAAAAATAAAACCTAATTTTGTTTCTTTAGGAATAAATTGAGAAACTTGAAATTTTAATTGTTCGAATATTAGGATTATCTTTATTTATTGAGTATATATGATTGCATCCTCAATTATATACATTTATAATAGCCACCAGGTAGTGAGTCCACTATATTAAGGAATAATATATGACCTTCTTGCTACAGCCATAAAAATTACAGCAAAGTTACCAAAGAAAACTCGTATAAAATCATGTTAGAAAACAAATTTTATATTATGTTCCGTTGATATAGAATTTATTATATTCACTTTATTTTTTAAATCATGTTCAATTTTTAATATAAAATGTATTATTCGGCTTGATTGTGGGGTTTTTTTTTATACCCAAACAATAATGTCCAGCCGTGAGAAAATATTCATATATCTTTTTTACTTGTACCCCAAGCAACGAGTGATCTTAGGTTTCGCAATGAATGTTAAATTGAAGAGAGATTGACCGTTGACTTGATTAGGTCGTGATGTACGGACAGCCCCCAAAGCAGTCAACTCACTCAATTCAAAGACACAGTTAAGACCGTTGACTTTTAAATATACCAATAACGTATGTTTGAGAGGTCGAGATATTTTCACCGCGAAACCTAGATAATTATAATTTTTAATTAAATTTAGTAGTATTTTTTATAATTTAATCGGTACACGAATATATTCAAGGTAAAAAAAACAAATGTACAATCTATATATTTCATCTTTTAAATTAATTTTTTTTTATTATTCGATCTATAAATAAATAACGTTGAATATCTCAAAATTGGGTATTAAAATTTATCACTAGTTCCTTTGTCCCACGTCAAAGTTCCACAACGGCTAGTAGTTGTTGCTTGAATTAATCAATGGCATTAATTATATTTAGAATGATGTACATGCAAGGAAATTACACAATGCAATACTTGTTGATTGAATTAGTCAATTGCATTTATTTTATTTTAATTAGTGAATGTTCATGTTCGGACTTGGGTGCACTTGTTAATAATTAGATGGGCCATATATTTATTTATGATTTCAGCGGCATGCAATAAATGTTTTGAAAGGCCTGTTGTACAGAAACTTTTTAAGTAAATGAAATATACAAATCTTTATAAAAAAAAATAAATAGATAAATTTATAAATGTTTTGAATTTTCTCTTTTGTAATGGGCTTAAATTCTTTTGAAATTGTGCTTGTGTTATCTATTATTAAACCAAAAGAACTTATTGCAATGGAATACGAAATTTTCAATGTTATATTAGATTAGGGTGGGCACGGATCGAATATTCGGACTTTTTTAGATATTTTTATCCTTATTCGATCCGTACAAATATCAAATTTTGTTATTCGTATCCGATCCGTAATTTTTGGATACCCCTAATTTTAGATATCCGAAAAAACTCTGAATATTTCTAAATATCCGTATCCGACAAAAATAATAAAAAATATATTTTTTTCATTTGATAGATATACACATTGGATAATATTATTCTCAGAATGGTTGCATATAACACATAGGAAAAGACTCAGAAATTGGTTTTTGGTTTGATAGATGAATCATTCATTAATCTGCAACTTCAAATCTTCAAATGACATCTGAACATTGACCCATTAAAAAATACAGTTTCTCCAGTGATATTGATCTCGTTGGGACATGATACGTTTTTCAGACATGGTTTTTACAAATCCATCACCCACCAATTGATCACAAAAGATCTCTAAAGGACATCAATGGAGAACATGATAGAAATACCGGCAAGACGACAACGTTCTGCTCTCACTGCCGGAATGTCGATAACTTTTCCAGGAAATCCCTGCCAGTAATAGAAGAAATCGAAGACGATGATCAAAGATTTTGTCGGAAATTTTAGGAGAAAGGGAGAGAGGGTCGGCTAAGATCTATGACAGAGAGAAGAGGAAGATGTTGGGGTTTCCTGGAATCTCTAGAGCGAATCATATTCCTAAGAGATCGATTCTAGGGTTTGCGCATCGGATATAAAACAAAAATTATATGAAACCCTAGAACCATGCATGTATGAATCGTAGAAACGTTAGAACGCTTACCTCAATCGATCCGGAGCCTGTATCAACTGAAGAATTCATTCGATCACTTTAGGCAGGAAGATTACCTCGCCCTCTATACGTATCCACACCTCGGGATGGATTCCAACGATTGGAACTTGTCTGCTAGGATCCGAATCTGCTATTCGGTATGATGCTTCGAGAAAATGAGACTTGAAAACTCTTGGATCTCACCAAAAACTGTCAAAAGTCTGCACCAAACGGCTGCCAAAGTCTCCATCTTTAATGGGTTTTAATCTCCTTCTTATAAGCTGATTTAACCCTAATTTTGGTCTAATTTTCGAAAAACCTGAAGCCTGGAACGGACGGTTTGGATTTGCACGCGGACCGTCCGTTCCAGGTGTAGAACGGACGGTCTGCATCATAACGTGGACCGTCCGTTCCAGACTACGGAACGGACGGACCACGATTCTGGACCGTCGGGTCTGGACTTGGCGGACCGTTGGGTCTGGCCCTTCTGGTCCTTTCAGTCTGGACCCTTCCGTCTCGGTTTTTTCTTCATTTTCTCGTGCGTTTTGTCTTTCCCTGCGTATGTGACCTGTAGGCTCATTCGATATAGCAGTATAACCCGAAATCTCTATTTCGGATATACAAGTCATAAGCGGTCTGTAGCAAGACACTATGACTACCTATCTCGAATAGAGTTTGTTCGTGATCTTACGAACGCCAGTGATGATTCCGGCTGATGATCCTTTTGTATCGCGATATCATATGTCGAACATAAGGGATGGACAAGCCACCTTATCTGATTCGACTACTTTTTCGTTCACTGAGTTCAACTGTCTGAAATAGACGATGTTCGTCTATAGTGCGGCCACACATTTCTACAGTCTCGCTCACACAAGGGGTCCAGCGATATCTCTCTCTTTTACGAGAGGTACTAATCACGTTTTGACTATCTACAATCCAGCTCATAATTCATTTCGTACCTGATACACACCTTTATAGTCCTCCTGTTACGCAGGACGTTTGACGTAATCAAAGTACGCAACTCCTCATGTTGGATTCCGTAGATATCTCAGGTCTTAGAATCCAATCATGGAACCGTCATATGAGATTCAAGTCATGACGCTAGTCCATGTGATAATCTCATGCGGGTCAATCCAGTATTTCGTTCTCCAACGAATACCTATGATTGTGATCGTATCCATACCTATGATCATCTATATGATCATCAATCACACATCATACTAGTTTTAGTATATCATTATTCCCACAATGATACATGACTAGAGAGTTTAGTATTGTTCATAACAATACATGGATTTCATAACATATCAAGTATGCACAACATGTAATGAATCAAACACTCATCCATAAACTCATAGAAAGTGTCAATACGTCAAATGTATCTATAAATAAAGCTCGCAAAACAGTACATCATAGAGCACTAAACCAACAATCTCCCACTTGCTCTAATCATGGACTGCTAAACATCTAATGCTCATATTCCTAACATGACCCTCATCTTCGACGAAGGGAGAGGCTTCGTCAACGGATCGGTAATGTTGTCATCTATCGACACTCTGCAAATGTGCATGTCTCCTCTGTCTATGATCTCCCTGATAAGGTGAAATCGTCTGAGTATGTGTTTGGATCGTTGATGGGATCTGGGTTCTTTCGTTTGTACGATCGCTCCATTGTTGTCACAATACAGAGCAATGGGGCTATCAGCACTAGGAATGACACCTAAGTCTCCAACAAACTTCCTGATCCAAACAACTTCCTTTGCTGCGTCCGACGCTGCAATATACTCAGCTTCTGTAGTAGAATCTGCAACGGTCGCTTGCTTAGAACTCTTCCAGCTAACAGCGCCTCCGTTTAAGCAGAAAACATAGCCAGACTGCGATCTGTAGTCATCCGGGTCTGACTGAAAACTAACATCGGTGTAACCCTTTACAGGGAGCTCGTCTTCCGACCCACCATATACCAAGAACACATCCTTAGTTCTTCTCAAGTACTTCATGATATTCGGATACGGATCGAATTTTCAGTTCGGATACGGATCGAATAACGGATCGGATCAGTTTTTTCGAATATTATGTCCACCCCTATGTTAGATAATTTTATCACCAATAGACCGGAAAGTGAAAAATGGACAAACATAATTCATCGACAATTTATCACTCGACAATTTATCACTCTAAAAATTATTCAACATCCAAACATAATCCATCGACAATTTATCACTCTAAAAATTATCTAAAACCTCTCACTATCTCCAACTCTTAAAAAAATTCAAATAAAAATATATTTTATTATTTTTATTAAATATTTATTTATTATTTTGATTTCAAATATTTCCAAATTCTCACACAAAATCTTAAAATGTGTTGCAATTTCCTCCACATTCGTAAACGCGGTTAAGCTCCATCAATTTTGATGCTGACTTGGCATGCCACGTCATACAGATTTTGGCAAATCATCACATTTCACCACATCACCTTGCCACGTCAGAAAATAAGTAAAAAATAAAATAAAATAAAAAAATTCCAGAATTTTTTTAAAAAACTAATAAAATGAAATATTTTTTTAAAAAACTTTTAAAAAATTACAGAATTTTAAAATTTATTTTTTAAAAATAAAATAAAAAAATTACATATTTCATATGCATATATATACATTTATACATATATACATACATATCCACATATATATACATGTTCAATGTATATATGGATATATATGTATATATATGAATATGTATATACATATGTGAATATATATATATATTATTTATGTGTATATATGTATATATAATTTTTTATTTTATTTTTAAAAAATAATTTTTAAAATTCTGTAATTTTTTAAAAGTTTTTTTAAAAAATTGTGTATATATGTAAATGTATAAGTGTGTATATATATATATATGTATATAATTATGTATGTAGATGTATATATGTGTGTATATGTATATAATTGTGTATAGATATAAAAATATGTATATATGTATATGTAATTTTCTATTTTATTTTTAAAAAATAAAATTTAAAATTCTGTATTTTTTTATTTTATTTTATTAGTTTTTAAAAAAAATTAGAAATTTTTTTATTTTTCTTTTATTTTTTATTTATTTTATGACGTGGCAGGATGATGTGGCGAAATGTGATGATTTGACAAAATTTGTATGACGTGGCATGCCACGTCAGTATCAAAATTAACGGAACTTAACGTCGTTTACGGGCATAGGAGAAATTGCAACACATTTTAAGATTTTGTGTGGGAATTTGGAAATATTTGAAATTCGGTGTAATTTTTTGTCAAATTAAAAATTGGTGTAGGAAATTGGAACTTTTTCGAAAATTTGTGGAGGAATATGGGATTAACCCTTATCTTTATTTAATATTTATATTATTTTTATTTAATATTTATATTTATTAATATTTTTTAAATTAATTATTTTTAAATTTTAATTTAATTCTTCCAAAAAACTTGAAATTCTAAATTAATTTTTATTTTTATATTAATTTTAGAAACGCAATTAGCAACTAACCAATCTTGTCTGTCAGACCAACTTTTGGTCAGTTCCGGACCTAGTTAGTTTTTCGGCCAAGCTCGTCTATGTGTCCAAGTCCATTTGGTCAGCCGGATCAACTCTTGGTCCAGTTTGGACCAGACCCAAAGTTTAGAAAAAACCTAATTTTTCTCTCCGATCTTTCCCATTCATACACGTCCATCCCATATGTGTATGACTCTTTAGGCTTCTCCGAATACGACAGGAAATCTGAGATCCAATCTCACTTTACAAATCATAAGTGGACTCTATCAAGATATTATGATTATCTGTATCGGATAGAGTTAGATATGATCTAACCGAAAGCCATAGATAACTCTAACAATGATCTTCTTTGTCTCACGATATCATAAATCGAACCACAGTTCGATTGTTTTGTCGTATCTTGAGTAGAATGTAAGAGATAGATGACATTCATCTATAGTGCGACCACACATTTCCACAGTCTCACTCCTACGACGGGCCCAAAGATATCTCTCTCTTTCGAGAGGGACAAAGTTTCATCTTGACTTTCTACTATCTACTGCATAATTCATAATGTACCTGAAATACGCTGTTATAATCATCCAATTAAAGACAAAGTTTGACGCAGTCAAAGTACATTACTCCTTATGTTGGATATCGCGTAGATATCTCAGGTCTGATGATTCAAAGTGAACAACCATGTGAGATTCCAATCATGGATTGATCCAATCGACAATCTCACGCGAGTCATCCAGTCACTTGTTCCAAACAAGTACCCATGATCGTGATCCGTATCCAATACACATGATCATCACTATGATCATCCATCACGCCTCAAGTTAGTCTTAATTCATTATTACTCCCACAATGACAAACGACAAAGGAGTTTAGGATCGTTCATAATGATCCATGGATGTCATTATTTCTCAAACATGCAAAATAAATAATGAATAAATAATGTATTCATCCAATGAATTCATCATAACATACAAGGTCCCATATCGTATGATCATCATAGAGCACCAAAATCATCACTTCTTAGTAGAATGTGTGGGTTCTTAACAATAAAATAGTCATATATCTTCTTTGGCTTTGCATGATTGCCCTTCTTTTTGAAAAATTCACACAACATACATCTGTTTCCATTAAATGGATTGTGTCATGTGGTTTATTCACGTTAGTCTTTGTTATTTTTATTTTGCAGCTATAATTTTGATACAAAAGAAAGTTGAGGAAAAAATTATTTTCAAAATAGGTTCCATATATATTATCTTGTTGTGATAATACGTTATCTGATTTTAGGAGATGATTTTTTTGGGAAAAAAGAAGTTTTTGATATTCATGTGTGTGTTTTTCTCTTTTTTTCTTGCATAGTTAGTAATGATTAGGGGTGGGCACGAGTCGGATACCCGGAAAAATCGAGATATTTGGATATGGATCCGCAAGACTCGAATATTTAACTATAAGATTTGTATCCGAGATTTGATATTTACAAATATCCGGGGTATCCGGAATAATGGTCGGGTATCCATTCTTTGGATTGCAGACTATGTTATTTATGTGATGGCTTTGCATGATTGCCCTTCTTCTTGAAAAATTCACACAACGTGCATCTTTTTCCATTAAATGGATTGCGTCATGTGGTTTATTCACGTTAGTCTTTATTATCTTTTTTGCAGATATAATATTGGTGCAAAAGAAAGTTGAGGAAATTTTTTTTTCAAAATAGGTTTCATATCTATTATCTTGTTGTGATAATATGTTGTCTGATTTAAGAGGTGATTTTTTGGGAAAAAAGAAGTTTTTGATATTCATATGTGTGTTTTTCTATTTTTTCTTGCATAGTTTGTAATGATACTATGAAATTATTTGGCATTCAAGACGTGAAGCTGTGAAATGATGATCGTCGTCTTTTCACATTTGAAAGTTTTGATTGGACGAATGAGTAACTTTATAAATTGATATAGTCGTATTCATCATTATTTGAAGGTCTATATTTACAAAATTCATAAATCCTCTATATTTAACCATAATAACAACCGATCTTTTACAAATATATAGTGTTTTTGTATGATTATCTTTTTTTCCACGAATACATAGAAAATGAACTATAAAAAATGTAAAAGGCTCTGAATAGAAAGTTTTTCTTCATCCACCAAGAATTGAAAAACAAATTGAATCGCCTCCTCTTACTAGACTCCATTGAGAAAAGGAAGAATTTAACCCCTTGCATCATCCACAACTAAGTGATTTGGTTTTTTCTTTCGTTTGATTTCGTTTGATTTGTGCATGTCAGATTGTTGTATTCATCATTATTCAGAGGTCAATATTTACAATCTCTCTCCCTCTTTTAATACAGGCCACTCTCTGCCCTCCTGTTTGATTATGTGTCTCTTACTTTTTTTTTGTATGGATCATATGTTTGTCCTTCTTAGTAGACTGTGTGGGTTCTTGAACAAAAAAATAGTCTTATCCATTCTTTGGATTGCAGACAATGTTATTTGTATGATGACTTTGCATGATTACCCTTCTTCTTGAAAAATTCACACAACATACATCTGTTTCCATTAAATGGATTGAGTCATATGGTTTATTCACGTTAGTATTTGTTATCTTTTTTGCAACTATAATTTGGGTACAAAAGAAAGTTGAGTAAAAAATTCTTTTTAAAATAGGTTTTAGGTCTATTATCTTGTTGTATAATACGTTGTCTGATTTTAGGAGGTGATTTTTTTGGGAAAATAGAAGTTTTTGATATTCATGTGCGTCTTTTTCTCTTTTTTCTTGCATAGTTAGTAATCATTATTGTAAAATTACTTGGCATTCAAGACGTGAAGCTGTGAAATGATGATCGTCGTCTTTCCTCATTTGAAAGTCTTGATTGGATAAAATGAGTAACTTTATAAATTGATATAGTCGTATTCATCATTATTTGAAGGTCTATATTTACAAAATTCATAAATCCTCTATATTTAACCACAATAACAACCAATCTTTTATAAATATATAGCGTTTTTGCATGATTATCCTTTTTTCTTGGAATATACCGAAAATGCACTATAAAAATAAATGGTTAAAAAATAGAAAACGCCCTGAATGAGATGTTTTTTTTTCATCCAACAAGAATTGAAAAAACAAATTGAATCGCCTCTTTTTACGGACAACATTGAGAAAAATGAAGAATCGAACCCATATCATCATCCACAACTAAGTGATTTGGTCTTTTCTTTTGTTTGATTTCGTTTAATTTGTGCGCGTGAGATTGTTGTATTCATCATTATTTGGAGGTCTATATTTACAATATATCTCTCTTGGTCACGGGTCACATTTGATCACAATATGCCACATGGTTAAAAATTGCACTATGATCACATTGATCACACACATATCACAATGAATCACAACGATACTCATATGACTTAACTTATTAATGAGTAATACGAGTTGCATATATATCAAAATACATAGAACTGCTTGGATAACTCAATTTAGTCACAATATTATTATACAAAGGTTTTATATTTCTTCTCTTTGAAATTGGTGATGTTGTAGTTTTATAATCGACGTAGATGTTATTGTTGTTAACTGATTTGTTTAGTCGTCTCACATTTGATCACAATATGTCACATGGTTAAAAATTGCACTATGATCACATTGATCACACACATATCACAATGAATCACAACGATACTCATATGACTCAACTTATTAATGAGTAATACGAGTTGCATATATATCAAAATACATAGAACTGCTTGGATAACTCAATTTAGTCACAATATTATTATACAAAGGTTTTATATTTCTTCTCTTTGAAATTGGTGATGTTGTGGTTTTATAATCGACGTAGATGTTATTATTGTTAACTGATTTGTTTAGTCGTCTCACTTTTTCTATTGCAGAAAGAGTTTTTATGAGTTTGAATTTTAAGTTCTAAAGTATTTCTTCTCTTTGAAATTGGTGTTGTTGTGGTTTTATAGGCGACGTTGATGTTCTTGTTGTTAAATGAGTTTTTTTTTTCTAAACTTCATCTGGATTAAGACTCGATGTTTCAAAATATTCGTCAAAATATTCGTCAAAGTTGAACTTCATACGTGTTCTTTAGATTAATTTGAGATCTTGATTAGAAGTGATTTTTCCAGTTTTTGGAAGTTAAGAATCTAAAAAAAATTCAGTCATAATTTTTTTTTTATTTCAGTTTTTCTAAAACTACGAAAAGTCAATTTTTTGAGAAATTAACATAAAAAACACTCTTTTGTAGATTTTAGTGATTTGTTATTAGACTTTTTATTTTTATTAAAAAAATAATTATATAATTATTTTAAAGACAAAAATACTCATTGTTTTAAAAATAAATTTCACATTATATTTATGCCTATATAAAGCCAATATTCTTACAATTTTTACCATAACTCATACCTTTTTTGAAAAAGGTTTTATAATTTAAGGTATGTAAATTCAAATTTTATTACTTAAAATATATATTATTATTATCTTATATTGTTATTACTAGTATTAATAAATATGATTTTTTTTTAATGCTAAAAACCTTTTTTGTAATTTTTAAATATAAAATCTAAAACAAAAAATTAAAATACTATTTCTACCAACCAAATTTTTTAAAAACTGTGAAAATTACAAAAGTCAAAAATCAAAAACCTCAAAAATCCAAAATAAAAATCATTATCATTCAGAACTTATTTTAGTATAATTCATTAATAATACCATAAAATTCATTTATAGATACTTTATATTTATTATATAATACCATATAAACCATAATCAAACTTTAAATCAGAGTTTTGATAATTTTTTATCATCGAATCGCAGGTCACATAGATCATATAGATCAAATAGATGCATTAAAATCATATTTGATGACATTAAAAATAAAAAAAAAATTATTAACGGTGATCATATCGAAAATTGATTCATCTAATCATTTATAATGTTTGATCCTATATGATTCGGGGTACAAAGTCATATAGATTGATATAGGTAATGAGATCAAATGAATAATAAGATTATATAGATTACATGGTTATATGGTTATAAAGTTATATGGTCACAAAATTACATGTAACAAAAAGTTAGAATAGATAAAAGATAAAAACATAAAAATAAAAGAAAAATAAAATTATTAATCAGGAGAGAAAATAAAAAAAATAAAAATATATAATTAATAAAAAAAGAGAAATTGGTGAAAAAAAATGATGAATAAAATATATAGAAAATTAATTAAAATATTAAAGGGTAAAAGAGAAAATATACATTTAGAAAGATATTTTGGAAGTAGAATTTAAAAAAATTGAAGGGTAGGTTCAGAAGTATTTTTAGCATACTAAATAATGGCCCTATAAAATTCGGTTATTGATTTAATTTGGAATTTTGATGGTTTTTAAAAAATAGATATGATTGAAATTCCCCATGTTATGTTTTATAAGTCAAAAATTATTTTTAAAAAAAGTTAATTTTTTTACATAGTGATTAATGCAAGTAATATTCCATGCAAATATTTTACAACCATTTGAAATATCAACATCTCCTTTTGCTAACAATATTTGGAATCTCACTAAAAAAGAGAAAAAGAATATTCTAAACACGTTTTAATATGTTCACATATCTTTTTATGCCAATAAAAATTATATTAATGTAAGGTTTAAAGTAAAGTAAGGGTCGTCTAATCTTTGATTTGGTCAAGAGGAATCGAATTTATTCGAAAGAATAACGAATAAGTATTTTCAAAACGAATTTAATAAAAAATGGATATGATTTTTTAAAAAAATCGGAAAGCTGCATCCGAATAAATGATCAAAATAACTAAAAAACACTTAGAACTTCTATAAAAAAAAATTAAATATTTTACAAAAAAAACTCAATCCAAATAATTTTTCTAAAACCGAGAAATTTATATCGGAAAACTACTAACCGTAATCCAAATAGGAACTCCGAAATTTCAAACCCTATTTGTAATTGTAAAGTACAACTTGTAATCACATTAAATGTAGGGTTTATAGATGGTAAATTCTTTTGAAAACGGTCCAATAAATTTCAGATGGTGGGGAAAATTTTCAACCATAAAAATAAAAACTGTGAGATTTAACGAAAAAGATTTTCGACTATATATATATATATATATATATATATATATATAGGTCCCTCTGCATGGGAGTTGGATTCATTTATGTTTTCTTCCCATTGAATGCATGTCTCTAATTTCTTTCTTATTAAAAAATGTTATGATCTAAATATTTTGGATTTTATTCCCATTTTGATTTAGTTATTTTGTATTTGGGTCATATCTATTTAGTTTTACACGGGATTTTGATTTGATATTGATATTTTTCTAATTTGATTAAAAACTCTAACCTATTACTTAAAGTGCAAACACAAATTAATATTAATTGTGTAAGAATTATTTCAAATATTTAAGACTGATCTTAATTTTATTAAATAAACACGATCTCAATGTTACTAAATAACAGCCCTGTGTATTTGTAATACTATAGAGTGTAATTAATTTAAAGATTATGTTAGTTATAATTCACATTACACGTTGACCGACTGATTTCGTGCATCTCTGCCCATTACAAATCATACAAAATTATTGTCATTTATTTTTTTTTCACAAATTTTGTTGAACTGCATCTACACATACATACCAATACATACGGGGGGATATACATTTAGATATGAAACAGAAACTCAAACTAATATAAATATATATATATATATATATATATATATATATGGATATTTAGTGTTAACCATTTGACGAAATATTACGTTGAAATACAACAGTTAGTGTACAATGAATATAAGAATTTGCAATACAATTTTGTTTTCTTTATCAATCCATTAACAAAATTCCGTTTCTAATTATTTTACAATATTTGACACGTAAAAATGGTAACACAATAATGTTATAGTTAACAAGCTACAAAAAAATGAAATTGATTAAAAATAAAATGTTTTTTGCTATGGAAATGTAATAATGATCATATACATCTTCGTATTGCTATTTTGTAAGGAAATTTTCTTGCAAATATTATAAGGAAATTGCATTGCTATTTGTTGCTGTAAAAAAATGTTGTTAATAGTTAATTTAATTTGGTAGGATTAATTTTTATAGTTACTTTTATGTGTAGGATTGATTTAATTAATATTGGTTCCAAAGTTATAATTATGAGTTAATGTTTTATGCAAGGTTATGGACAAGTAATAAATTCGAAATTAATTGTAATAAATATTAAAAAAAATCAATTCTTCAAAACCTCAAATCCACTTGATTATAAGGGCATTATCAAAAATACCCTTCATTTGCTATTTTTACTTCAATACATACTCGTTTTTAATTGTGACCCTGTAATCCATATGACTTGAAATACAGTGTGGTCTTTCAGGTCACATGTTAATCCTATTAGTCATAACGTTAAATTTACACTGTTTAAATCAAATGATTAATGAAATATATAAGAGATGAATATAATGAATTAGTGTTATCACAAAAAATTTAACGTTATGGTCAATAAGATCAAAATATGATAAGACTATATTTTTTTGTCACATGGATCATATGGTTACAAATGAAAAATATATGTGTTAAACTCAAAATAATAAAGGATGATATTTTTTATATAATACCCATTATCAGCGTATCAAAATTATACATACATACATACAATTTCAAATGCATTTAATTTTTTACATCTATAATTATTTTTAATAATCTCTCGATATACTGTTGAACCAAATATTGCATATTATTAATCTATGAAACCTAACTTCTAATAAAATATATGATAATTCATGTATGACATGTTCATAATCTAAACATTTAAATTGAAATGGTCCAACAATAATAGGAAATCCGTGCCGCCCATGAGCAGCTTTGACTCGGCGACACGTGTCAGCTCATCACTTTGTATCCTAACAAACACAAACCGACGAAATAATGCAATTAAGATAAAAAAAAAATGTTATAAATATTATGAAAAGGATATATATCAAAGAGTGTTTATTATTTGGAAAAGAAAATATTTTATTCTATATTGTATTTTATAATCCGAGTCCGAGTCCGAGTCGTGTGTAGCCCACTGAGTTTGAAGCCGGTCTCATCAACTTTCACTTTTGAGCTCACATTGTGCGTGTTACTGTGACATCTTCTAAACATACTATTATTAAAACTCTCAACATATTATAAAGCAATTGAGATTTTGAATATATATATATAGTATTCAGAGTTGTCCATTTTTTAATAACCGAATAGCCGAATCGAACCGAACTAAATAAGATATAACCGTAATCAAATCAAGTTCGATATAAAAACCGAACGATTATGATTTCTCTAAATCCATATTTTTTTAAAATGAGTTTTTTTATAACAGAAAAACAAATCCGAACCGAAAAAATAATCGAAACGAACCGAACTGAAATTTCTATAAAAATGCAATAATTATAATTTTCTATAACCGAAATATCCAAATTTAAATATAACCGAATGAAACCCGAAATGGTGACCCTATTCAAACGATAGTCAGACACGGCTACTTCTTTCTTTTCTCGGTTTTCCGTTTATTTCTTCCCAAAAATTCAATTTCCTTTTTTAAATTATTAAAACCTTTAGCGACTATTTTTCATTTTAAAATTTTCATTTTTGGTCCTTTAGAAAAGGAAAAAATGCAAAATTATGCCCACAGCTTTTGCCCATAATTTTCTTTTCTTTCATATTTGCCCCTATAGTCTCAAAATATTCTAGTTCAAGACTGAAGTTTACCTTAAATCATCCTAAAATTTGCCCACATCAATAAAATTTTCACTTTCGAGATCTGGAATTTATGAATAATTCGACTTTTTTTGTTCACGTTAGAAGTTAATTACCAATGTGTAGGGATCTCGCGTTGAATTTTTCGAATTCGACCTTTCGTGATCAAACATATAAAAATAGAAAAGGTAAAATCTCACCCATTAACTGAAAAGTTGAATAACAAATTTGGTAGGGAAAATATCTAAATATGAGTGTTTCAAATTATCTTTTTATGGATTTAAATTATATAATCTTATGACAATTAATGCATGGAACAGAAATACTAGTAACAAATCTCTGAATCTAAATATCTAAGTTCATGCATCATTGTATTATTACATGAATCTATAAGCTTCATTATAATAAATTTACAAGTCTACGCGTTTATATTATTTACTTTGTTCAGTTTCTTTATTTGAATTCTCTATTTCCTTTTCCTTGGTTAATACAAATTTCATGAATTATTAAATTCCAGTGTTTGAACAACGAGAAATTACCACATGTAGTAAATAGATACATCATACATGTAATTTACTATTTCGTTGAATAAAGGGATATATTATTTACATACTGTATATATATATACACCACTTTCTCTTTTTACTAGAAAAAAAAAAAGTCCAAAACAAAAGACTGCTGATCAATGATCATGATGTTTAAAAAAAAAAAGTGTAGGACCGATTTGTTGTTGACTAATTGAACAAATTCTGAAACTTACGGGGTACAAAAGAAAATATAAATAAAGTAATGTATATCATTATTAATCGACCACTCATAGGAGAGAGAAAAATATTTTGAAATACCGCTTTTGCCCTTGACTCCACCGCTCCTATAAATAACGAGGGCTGAGTGAAGCTAGGGTTGCCGAAACGAACAGTCAAACACCCCTCAGAGAACAAAAAACGAAAAAGGAAAAAAAAGCTCCTGTTCAGAAAAAAAAAAGAGGGAAAGAAGAAGAAGAAAAATGGCGGTGACTTCTAGAAAAAACAGCGGGCCGGTGCTCCGCTCGCTCTCTCCGTCCGGCAGATTTTGTTACTGTTCTCATGCGCCGCCGTCTTCCGGCACCGCCTTCGCTTCTTCTTTCTCTAGCTTCAGCTCTCGATCCTCCACCTTCTTCCACCGGAGACCAGCCCCTCCTCCACGCGCCTCCGCAACTGCGGCCTCCGCAATGACCGCAACCGTCAGATTCTCCCTCGACCGTCCGACCTCCCCAGTCCGGTCGATCTCCGCTGTCGGCCAATCCCCACGCATCGCCGGCCAGATCGTCAGGAGCCAGGTATCTGCGCCGCAGAAGCGTACCTGTATGTGCTCTCCGACAAACCATCCCGGATCCTTCCGGTGCAGCCTGCACAAGGCCGCAGCAGCGCGTGGAGGACACGCACCGGCGAGTTACTCGCCGAACAATCGTCTCCACGCGCGGAGATCGGCGATGACGAACTCGCTGGTGCGGATCTGTGGTGTGGAGGGAGATCTGGTGAAACGGGCCCTTGCGGCGCTGATACGACCGTCTTCACACCAGCAGCGCCGCCGCGCCGATTTCCGGGCGCGACCAAGTCGCCTCTCCCTCATGTCGAGGGCCGACAACTACTGCTCCTGATTCCGATCCTCACCGGCGACGATGACGTCATCACTTGACTATCTGATGGACGGTGTTTTTTGAAATCTCCGGCGACCGTGAAGTGGACGAAAAATTTGTTTTCTATAGATAAATGATTTATTTTCTGTATGTGGGTGTATTATATACGTAAATGGGGAATATAGTACATAAGCTGCTGCCATGGCGAATCTGTGAAACAGATCGAAACTAAAATAGAATTTTCCAAATCAAAGTCTTCGATAAATTTATCCAAAAGTTCATAGATCGAAACTGATAACATCTTCAAATCCATTGAACAGTTCGTTGTTCAGTGTATTATGTTTTGTGTGTGTGTTCGTTGTCTCCGTCTGTTTTACCGTTTACCGTTATCTTCTCCGTTTGCGTTAACGTTTTCCGTCGTCTTCTCCGTTTTGTAGGTGTTTCTGCATCTGTACTGGTGGACTTTCATCTCTCTGGCGTTTGCAGGTTCGTTGTGATCAACTCGTTAATTAAGTCTTATTTTTTCTTAATTAATCTGTATTTTGTTAAACTGTTTCTGAATTTTGCAGCTTTGATGATTGAATTTTTCGAGCACTAAGAGGAATAATGATCATCACGATGAGATCTGTAACAATGGAGGATTGAATTTTGGACTTTTAATTGGGTTCCTCTAATATGATAGTTAAAGGAATTAAAGGGTTAAATTTTGGTGAATATGCAATCTTCTAGAAAGGGAGGTTTATATAATGAAATCAAGAAAAAAAAAAAAGTAAAAGAAGCATTCATTTCTATAATTAGTGAAGGGTAACTATGAAGATGTAAATGATAATTGAATGGATTTTTTTTTACAAAGATTGCCATATTAAATTTGATAGGATTGAGCTTTTTAGTTGATATGTTCAGATATCAATTAAAATTTTCATTTTAAAGTTTAAAATTTAGAATTTAAGATTTGAGATTTTAAAATTGATTTAATGTTTACTGTATATTTATGGTTTAAATATTAAAATTTTGGGGTTTGGTTATAAGGTTTACTATTTATAGTAGTAATTAAAATATAAAAAAGAAAATATATATTAATAATAAAGTAATTAGGAAGATATTTAGAAAGAAGGTTTTAGAATATATTCCGTTACTAATGAAACAATGATGTATCAACAGATTACATTCAATCTGTCTATTTTACAAAACCAAACCAAAATAATAAAGATATCTAGCGAACATTCTCAATTTCATTTCTACTTTGGTTCTTTTATTTTTTTTGTTTTAAAAATTATATTTATTTAGTTTTATTTTGATTCGGGATTTAAATTTTTATTTAAAATATTTTTATTTGCATTAGATTATTTTTATATTTAATTAATTTGGTTTTAAAACTATACTTTGTATATTAAAATATATTCAGATTCTTTATATCAAATAATAAACATCAATCTATATAGATATACAAAATATTTTCTTTCGGTTTTTTGTTTTTTTTCAAAAAAAGAACAAAAAAAAAACGAATATATATTATTATAAGTTGGGTAGTCTAGGACAACTAGCACTCTCCTTGGATTTGATTTCCTAGATAATGGTACTTTAAACCCATAAATTCTTATGATATTTTATTATAAATAATCCATACAAAATATTAACTAAAGTTGATATTAGTATATTATCATGAACATAATTAGTATATAAAAATATGATTATGAACACAATTAGTATAAAAATTGTAAAATGATATAAATAAGAGATTTAAATTTTTTCATTAAAATACAATTTGTAAATATAAATGAATTAATTTTATTAGAATAAACACATATAAAACTTAATAATATATAGAGTTAAAATATCATTTAATTTAATTTGATACTAAATATAAAATATATGATATTAAAGATAAATATAATTAAAGATACTGTTTTGTTAATTATTTTATTGCACGAGAGAGGAACCAAAGTACAAAAAAGACAAATTGACAAGGATAAAGCTCCTACGTAGGCCCCACGCTACATCATTCGCAGCTCAGCAATGCATTATGTATCAATGTATCGTATCAATGTATATTTTTATATACATAGATGATCCATATATATTACGAGAGCATGTAACAAAAACAAAGCCTACTATAATGGATAATGGATAGGTTGTTTGAATTAAATTTTCCTTGGACCGTATTTGATGTGATATGGACTTTGTCTTCACGTATGTGGCGAATTCCATATCCTAATAATAAGGCGATCATGACATTATCTTAATTTAGACGCCAAAAGATTTCTATAGAAGTATCATATAATTAGTAAATGATATTTATATTCTAAATAAAGTTTTCAATTTTTTATAGATAATGAAGTAAATAAATTTTATGATATATCTAACTATTCAAATCTGTATCATATATTTTATTCCAATAACAATTTGGTTCATGATACGAAAAGATAAGATACATTATCAATTAGAAAAAAAAAAGTATTATTAGTTTATTTTTTAGTTAATTGATTTTTCAAATATATTAGAATTTAGGATTTTTTAAGTATTTTATTTTTATAAATAAAGATTTTAATATCTTATAAAAAAATATGTTTCTCAATTTTATTTGGAGATAAATAAATACAAAATTTTAGAGGACTAATTGAAAAGTTATAAATATGTGATATGTTTATTATCGATCACTAATAATGAGATAAATTAAAAATAACTAATTTGATATTATTAGGATTTCATATATAATTTAATTTGATATTACTAATTTGATATAAAGTAATTTAAATAATTAAAGATGAACTTTATCCATATTAGGATTTTTAATTCCAATACCGCTGCAAAGAATTGGCATCTCAAATGGAGGAAAAGAAAAGATGGAGGTTTTGGTTTTGTTGATGTGGACAGATCATATAGTTTGAGAACATGTGAAAGGGCTATGTGCAATTCTCAAGTGCCCCAAATGAGCTCTACAGCTTACCCCCACGTCTCAAACTTTGTCATGACACCTAAACTCATTCCAAAGAGATAAGGTTGAGAGAGAGAGAGAGAGAGAGAGAGAGAGAGAGAGAGAGAGAGAGATTGATTGTGGGTTACAAAGTCCCCATCTTGAATTGGTTCATTGGACCCATAATGTCCCCATCAATTTGAATGAAAGTGAGTGTGACAATATGATCATCCCCATTTAAAAAAAAAACAATTTTATAAAATGCCAAAGGAAAAATGGCAACATCACTACCGTTGAATATAATTGCTGAGATTGGCTTTTCGGGATCCCTTCGAGCCAATTTTAAAAAGGGGGAATATGTAGGGAA